ACCTAAACACCATCAAAAATCTGTGGACAGACTTCAAAGAGCAGCAGATGCAAGGCGGCCCGAGGATCTCACAGAACTAGGAACCTTTTGCATGAAGAAAAAGGGCAGAAAATCCTCCAAACAAGAAGCGAAAGGCTCTTAGCTGCTACAGAAAGTGTTTACAAGCTGTGCTGAAGGAGGCGTCCAAACAGTTGCTTCAGGCTGCTTTCCATGTTTGTTATTTTGAAACTTTAAAAGATGGAAGTAAAAAGTAATCTCGCTTAAAATATTAAAGGAATGTGTCATCTTTAAGTTTGCGCCTTTTGGAAACGACGTCATCTTTTACTCACTGATTAAAGAGACGCTTAATCGGAGTTGCCTTCAAGGATTTGTTTGGCTGGTTAGTCATCCAACTTTGCCAACACTCAGTTCATCCTCAGAAGACTTTTAAACTCTTCACAGCTTTTCTTTAGTTCTGAAGATGGATTCTGCAAACAGCATGATCCGCAAAAGTGAGCTCTCAACTCCTGAAAGTCAGTCTGAGCCTGCTTCTCCAGACGGTTTCACCTCCAGCTGAAGTGATGATAATGTGGCTGATCTATGATCCCTCACTGGCTTCCCAAAGTCAAATGGATTATTGTGTCCCTTGGAAGTAAAATCAGAGGTGCTGATGCTGGAAAGGTTTCTGTGGTAGGCCTGTATACAAGAGCTGGAACATTGAAATGTTTAAACAGTTGAAAATCCATCCATCCATCCATTATCTATACACCGCTTAATCCTCACTAGGGTCATGGGGGGCTGGAGTCTATCCCAGCCGACTCAGGGCGAAGGCAGGGGACACCCTGGACAGGTCACCAGTCTATCACAGGGCCACACTTAGAGACAGACAACCAAGCACACTCACATTCACACCTACGGACAATTTAGAATCACCAATCAACAAAAAAACATGTTTGGACACTGTGGGAGGAAGCCGGAGAACCCGGAGAGAACCCACACTGCACAGGGAGAACATGCAAACTCCACGCAGAAAGATTCCGGTGCCCCCACCGGGACGCAAACCGGCAACCTTCTTGCTGCGAGGCAACAGTGCTACCAACTGCGCCACCTTGCAGCCCTCACAGTTGAAAATGTTCAATATATTTCAGAAACAGCATTTTTATTGCACAGTTTGTCCACCAGAGAACAATGACAGGTTTATTTTTCGACTCTAAAAGCTGCAGCTCGGTACAGGTCTCGGTCACGGTTCATAAACTCTTTGAACTCCAAACAGTGTCCGTCTCATTTTTCCTGCTTTTAGGCTCATTTTTCTCTGCAGCATAAAGACCTGCACCTCAAACAGAGCAACCACCAACAAGTCTTCCTCGCAGCATGGCACAGTTGTAACACCATAAATCATGAAAAAGATGAAAAACTAAAGGTTCATTTCTTTATTTGTTCTACAAAAATTGAACATATTTTTCCAACTGTTATCAAAAATGGTGCCTCTACAAACTACAGATATTTCACTATTTGCATTTTTACAGTTTCTGCAAACTGGATGTCTTTGACACATCTTGACATGTTTCACCGTGCTGAATGTATCTCCCAACAACTCGCTCCTCTGTTTGCTGTTTTTGAGCTATGCTGCATTTATTTTATTGATGAAGGACGTTATATTTTCCTCTCAGTCTCTCTAATTGGAACAAACACTTGCCTCCTCTCTGCTCTGTGCAAACACTGCCTGCAGTTCAACCGAATAACAACAGAATTTCTGTCACGTTGGTTGCAGCTCAGTCATTCGTGGCTCCTTCGTTGTGCTAAAAAGTGCAGATTTTTCTTGTTTCCAGAATGCGGGACAAAGAAATGCGATTAAATATCGTGATTTTAGGCTCAGATTTGGTTCGTTTTTCATAAGTTACAGGTTCAAGAACTGTGGCAAAGTTGAAAATCCAATTCTGCCACTGATTAATGATATAGTTTTGGTAATTTATTGTTTTTTCCAACCTGATTGTTGGTTTTGGGGTTCATAACATTAATAGCCCAGTTTAAGGGATTGTCTGATGTCCAGTTATCAGATATTTTTATCATCACATTTGCATCAGTCTCAGGACTCCATCGTGGTTTTATTGGTAGGTATGGGCTGCTGTGCTTCGACTGTACATGATTAATATCCTCCTCGATATATTTTCTGTGAGCTTGTGTTTGCGTTCAGACTGAGAAAGGGCCAGTCAGGTGGTGAAGTCGAGCAGAGAGAGAGAAGGAGGAAGAGGAAGATGAAGCCTTTTGCTCTTTTCAGAAGCCGGTGCTGTTTGGTGCTGTGGGACCGAGGCGGCCTCCAACCTGAGATTGAGGGCACTTGTCTGCCGAAATTGGGGCCAGCAGATGGCATTTTATTTGAAAATGCACTCGAAGCTGCTCAGGGCTGACAAGGGCTTTGGAGGGATGCGGTGACGGGCAGACACACGAACCAGACTGCTCGCATCAGGAACAGGAAACTAAAGGCCAATTACCAACAGCGGAGAGTGACGCGTTGACGCCTCGATGACACCGAAACGCCGCGACCTTTAAGAAAACGCTAATTCCCAACGAGGACTCTCTTTTTTTTAATGTCTTCTCCTGCGTTTGTTCTCCTCGGGATGCAGATTCAATTTATTAGGAGAATAACGGACAGTAATGACGAGCGCCAGACCAAGCGAGAGAACAGACGAAGACATGAAAGGCGTCGCATTAAGCAAACATAATTGCATTCCGTCTGAGTTTTAGATAAGAAAGCAAAGAAAAAAAAAGCAGCAAATTAAACGAACAAACACTCGAGAGATGATGAGTTTATTTTGATATTAACAAACTTGTGTTCGAATCATTTGAAAGGAGGCCGCCGCCGTCGGTGTAATCTCATTTTAAAATGCAATATTCTTCGGTTTTTTGAAGTTTGAAGAACAGATGTCAGGCGACGACGAGTTGTGCCGTCACCGTAAACCATCACGACGGAGCTCTGACGGTACGACGGACGCTCACAAAAGACAATGAGATTCGTGTGAGGTGTGACGGGATGCGTCACCTGCCGCCTCTTTGCTGTTTCATCGGTTTGCTGTTTGCCGCAGAGACGCCGGCAAACCAGTGGAAAATTGCAATCTTAATGGCAGATTTTACTGCGGTTTGTGCCAGACACCATTTATCAAACCGCAACGAGAGAAATTCTGGATTTCAGTGAAAAATAAAACGAAAATATAAACTTTTAGGGGTCGGCGAGACCTCGTAAACTGGCCGAGGAGCAGAAAACAACACCGACCGGCAATGTGTAACGTCGAGAGAGCTGTATAACTCACAATTGCATAGTTTGTGTCACATTAGCCGTCGTACATATGAGAAAAATAAAGCCGGCATTGATTCTGTCTGCAATCACTTTCATGTTGTAGCATTAAGTTCTGTTTTCTCTGGTGTCCATCCGCTACCAGCAGTAGAAGTTCCCTCTGTATTCACTCGTATCGGCATGTTGTAGGTTCTCGGTTATCCAGGTCATTGCAATCCAAAGAGCTTCAGTAAAGTGGGAGAGAAAGCTTCACGCTCCATGTCTGCTTCTACTGTACATAAAATACCAAAATAACAACGTTGTTTTTGGTTCTTGAAGACGTTCTACCCTCATCAAAGAGGTTCTTAGAGTTTAGAGTCTCAGGTGTTTATTCTCACCTCCAAATCATGATTAAAAGACTCACGTACCTGGAGGTGTAAACGGTTGTGAAATTGCCAAATCAAGACATTAATAGTAGTGAAAACCATTGCAGATAGATCTCAATACTGCATTGTAAGTACTTGATAAGTGGTGTCCTCGATGCACGTCTCTGTTTAGAAGCCTCATGGATGAAGGTGAAATGTCTTCAAAAACCAAAACAAGAACCCCAGATTCTTTCTGAAGCTCTTAGAGTCGGTATTTTATTTATTCTCGACAGCAAAAACAGGAGTTTTGTGGTGGACAAGAATTAAACTCACACGAAATGATACCCTAATGCTGATCAGTGCAGCTGAGCTCATTCTGGCTGATGTTCCTGTTAACTTTCAGTTAAATGGAAAATATAACCACTAGACATCTTAAATACTGTGCTTTGTGAATGTAAATACCACTTGACTTTAAAAAAAAAAAACGCATATGGTCTATAATTAAGACGGCAATTACAGCGAAATTAGCCACGGGAGCCTATTTATTAGCTTTTCTTTCACATTCGCCTTTCTTTCATCGTTTAAACAGCATCTACTCAGCTGCTGGACTTGAGCACTCAGAACATTTAAAGGCTGATGAATAGAAGAAAATGAAGTGAATGGGCCCCGTTGCATATACGCATCAATAAGTGAAGGACCGAGGTGCTTTAGGTCACATTTTTTTCTGTTAAAACAAAGAAAATTCTAAAGGGTTCACAGACTTTCTAGCACCACTGTCCACTGAGTCACTTTAATCATCTGACAGAAATTCATGGACAGTAACAGGCTAGTTCTGACTGTGCTGGTGGTTAGAAGCTGAGAGGTTTGTATTTACGTATGAAAGGAAGCAAATAAACATGTTTCTATGTTGATTGTGAATGATTTTCTTCAAATCAGTTTATTTGCAAAACCGCACTGTTGAGATATCCGAAGGCTGCATTTGTCAAAACTTCAATAAAGACAAATTAAAGTTTAGTAGCTTTAATAGCAGCAGCATTAATCAGCAGATGACTTTGTTTATTTGGGTTCTCGTTACTTACTTTTGTGAAAATTTGTCACATTTTCTGCAGAAATATAGAAAATTCTAAAAGACTTAAACCCTCAAGCACCAATCTACTTACAAGCGTTTTACCAACATCTGTTTGTCAAACACTTGATGAAAATGAGGTGTTGCACCAGGAGTAGAAATACACCATAAAATGAGACAATTCTTTCTTTGAGAGAAGAATAAGTGATCTTATGAGAATGTTCTTGTATTTCATAAACCTCATCTCTTTATTTCCTGCTGTGTAACTCACCACAGTCAGTTTTATTTTACAAAAAGGAGACAAAGACATAAAAGAAACTCTCATTCATTCACGTTTTTATTTACAAGTATCGCATGAAACACACATTAAATCTTGGGAACACAGGAGTCTACAGACTGTGGATGATGGTTCGGTCCTTCAGGTTCTGGACGTACTCTTTGGCCTGGTCGAAGCCCGTCTTCGTCTCCTTCTTGGGCGGCGAACCCTCCACCAGCTTGACAAAATAATGACAGTAGACTTTGTCCATGATGCCGAACCTGCCCCGGCCGTGGTACCGGATCCGCTTCAGGTACTTTCCTTTGCCGGTGTTTGACTGGGCTGCAGGAGTGGAACGGGAGAGGACGGCGTGTCACGAAAAGAAGGATCAACGGCGAAGGGGAGACAAGGCACAGAATAACTGGTTTAATTCGCAGAGGTGCTCCCGAATGAAAACAGGTCAAAATAACATCGATGGAGCTGCAGTTTATCTGTAATAACGGTCGCAACTCTACGTGAATTACTGCACAGCGTCTGACCCAACAGAAAACTGCTGCTTTAAAAAAAGAAAAAAAAAAAAGACAATTTATTACCGACTCTCAGTGCGGGTCATTTTTCACACTTGGAAATTCATTTTCTTGCTTTTAGCACAATGGCTGACATCTCCTAATGGCCATCACATTACTCCAGAGCAGGTTTGGGAAGCAGAAGCTTTTCACTTACAAGCCAGTCACTTGGTTTATTTGGGACATTTATTAACTCCACAGAAAAGGTTGTGTTTTTCAACCTTTTCTGATTTTTTCATGCCAGCTGCTTTACGCCGAGGCAGTGTGTTAATACTTAGAGACCCCCCTCCAGTCAAAATCCATTTCTATTATCTATGTTATAATGTTCTTTTATGTGCCGAGGATGCATCACGAGTGAAAAAAGTCATCATGGCTGCTGCAGTGTATTGACTAAAACACAGTGTCAGACCGTGAGGGTTTCTCGTGTAACAAACTTAGATAACTAATCAAATTTTACAACTTCCCACTATGTGGTTTTACAGCTTTTCAGCAGAGTTGTAACCGACTTGTGTGCTTGAGTTGCAGCGAGCAAGACCCACGTTAGATATATGTGAACTACTTTAAAGTAGGAACAGATTAATTTAAATATGTAACTTTGGCACACAGAGTTGACTTTATTAGTGGTTTCATTGTTGACATTGAACCATCTTAATGGGCAGCAGTGTAAACCTTCAGGGCTGCAGACACTCACCTACATACAGGTTGGATTTGTACTCGACGTTGTGATTCCTGACCGCCATCTCTTGAGCCTCAAGAAGGACCTGAAACAAACACAGATATAACTTTTGCTTCCACTGCACACACAGGAGCAGTGAAAATGGGAATGTTTTAATCACACAGGAATGTAAAGAATATTGCATTGTGACTCTAGCACTTCATTTTTATCAGAAACTCATATGCTGCTGACAGTTAAAGCGGTCGGTATTTTTTTTTTTTTTTTTGCATTATTTTGGCTGAATTTTGAGAATTTAATTTTTAAAATATAACTCCTAGAGCCATGAAACTTGGTGAGAACTTCAGAGAATATTGTCTGCAGTAGATCTAGATCTTTAAATGGCTCATGCAGAGGACAGGTTTTTAAAACTGGCCCTTAAAAAAAGTGCAAACACACAAAAAAAGGGTTTTATTAGGGTCTCAGAAAGTTCTGTTTAGTGTAGATACATGGCTGTATCCAGATTTTCTGAGAAAATTGCAGTCTTCGGTCGACATTTCACCAACTTTAAAGACCTCTAACTTCTGTAGAATTTGAAGTCTAAGACAGAGTTTCCAGCTTGTTGCTATTTTGACAAAACAGTGATGTGAACTCATGTGGGAAAACAAAAACTGGTTTGCATAGAAGTCCATATATAATGAAATGTCATTGCTGTGGGAATTACATCTCTAAAGGTATTGGACCCTTTAAATAATAAGATATTTTTGAAGGAAAGAATACAAAAACTCCACATCTGGCAACCAGAAATTCTCTACATTCTACCAAAACATTTTACAGAACTTAGTTTTGAGCCCAATTAAATTAAATCAATTAAATTACGAACAAAGTCTGAGACGGTGCAGCTGCTTATTTCCTGAATTCTGTCTGAATTGACACCGACTGAACCTGAACGAGAGACTTCAACCAGTCATAGGTCTTTTCACCCAGAGCAGGTGAAATGGTTTAAAAAAACAGCTAAGTCAGCAGCAGGAGTACGCCGTGGTGGTGCTGTGGGATAGTTGGAGGACTTTATGAATCGCAGGTGAAGTCATAACTGACTACTGCAGCTGTGAGAGGCGTGAACATGCAGCTACAAACCTCTTTCATGATTTTTGCTCCTTTCTTGTCGTTGAACTCCAGCTGTGCCACGGCCTCATCGATGCTCAACCCTTCGATCTGTAAAGGAGGGAAAACGGTTAGACGAAGCAAGAAATAAAAGTTTGTGCACAGCTGTTGGGACAGCAGGGAGTCGCTCAGCCAGAGGAGGAAGCTTTTCAACGCCAGCAGCACACTGGAACAACCCTGAACACAGTGAGTCTGAACAAAACAAGAGGAAACAGCTGCATGCGACACACGACATTCAAAATAGATGCAGTTTCTGTTATTTCAATATTAGAAAATATTCAATTCAGATTCAATTTCATGTATAGGTTGAAGACAATTCTGACATTAATTTGTGTAGTTATTTAATGATAATTTATATTATTTATGTCACAATGTTTTAAAAATATGCATTTTAACAGTCTGTGCTAATTTAGAATTTCAACACTTGCAGTGGTCACATATAATCCACCACAAAGGCAACACGTTCAACTTAAATTTAGACTTAAATAAAAAATAAAAAAAAAGTGACCCAACTGTACTCAAGAGAACAGCAGAAAACAGAAACACCCAATCAAGGTAGAGTCATCAGAACTGCTGATTTCCTTCAGGCCTTTACATTTCTATCTGTTCAACCTTAGTTTAGAAATATCAACATGCACATTCACCAGCAGCTGTTTGAAACGAGTGTCAGCTTCAAGTAATTCAGAGATGAGAGGTGCCAGATGTGACAGACTGCTAGCTGTGATGCTGGAGGTCTTACCATTTTAGCCAGGTACCACATCTTATCTTTGCTGTATTTGATCTGCCTCCTGCTGTGGTGGACCTCCTGTGGAAGGAAACCCCAAAGTGAATACGTGTAAATAAAGAAACAAACAACCAGTTTACTCCAACAGTATAATGAGTAACAATAAGTGCATAACTGTCCTTTTACCAGCACCCTGGAGAACACCTGAACAGAACATCCTCTAAATCTGAGAGTCTTATTATAAACAGGTAGAAAGACTCACTGCTGGTCTGGGAGGTTCATCTGGCAGCTGAGGCGGATAAACTTTCAGGTTCTTCCTCTCCCACCTCTTTGATTCTAGTGAACTGCTGGTGTGGAGACATGAGAGCTGCAGAGGGCCAGTGCCCAGAACCTGTAACCTGCAACGATGCAGAGGAGAGGTAAACGATGAAAGATGTGTCACTGTATACAAAAAATACAGGTCAGGAAGTAGAAACCCAACGCAACAAAAGCGAACACACCCCTGATCGCTGACATACAAGTTAGTAAACCTGTGATCAACCTAAACTGACAAGAGTTCTGAAATAAGCTGTGAACAGCAGAAGTTTTGGACCGATGGGCTGTTTATCTGCACACCTGCATCATGGCTCCACATTGAAAAGAATTGCCAGAAAAAGTAAAAATTTTGATTTGAAGACTTCACAAGATGGAAAAAGATGCAGGAAGATAAATCAAAATCAGAGGAAACACAGTTACAGCAGTAATCAGGAGGTAGAGATGCAAGCAGAGAACCACTAATCAGAGCTACAGTGGCTCCTAAAACGACACCAGAGGCAAAAAAAAACCCCACATGACGGCAACTGCTTCTTGGTTATTGTCTGTGACAGCTCAGAAATGGTTCATAACATCAGCATCTATGGGTGGAGGACAAGAAAGAAACCCTTGTTTACTCTGTGGCACAAACCAGCAAGATGAGACTTTGCTACTGGGGCTGAAAAGATGCCTGATGAACGTTGGGAGCACATTCTTTGGTCAAATGAGACCAAGATTCATTTGTTGGGCCCAAGTGGAGTCCAGATGTTTGGTGTGAACCTGACCAGGACAACCACAGAGGATGAATAGTCCTGACAGTGAAGCACGGAGGTGGCAGTATGATGAATTGATACACTTCTTGTAGGAGCCATGAACAAGATGAACTATAAAGAGAATTATTTTTTATTACAAATAATACTGTTGACATGATTTATATTAATGTTAAGTATTGTTTGGTATTATTATGGTTGGTTATTTGTATAATTCTGATTATTTGTTGGGGGGCTGGTCACATGGCATAGGGTGGTGAAGTTTATTTAGGTACCTGCAGTTGGTGAAGGAGAGTGTGAATGGGATGTCGTATTTGTTGACCGCAAGCTTGATCGTTATGAGATTCATTTCGTTATATTTTGTGTATGTTGACCTTTCATTATTAAACTTTTGAAATGTATTTTGGATCTTAGTGAAGATCGGACAAAGAGCTCGGCCCAACGTCATCCTCTCAGCGCTCTTTAGTTTGTTTTTAATGAAGTCGCTACACTTCTTTTGTACGCTGACAGTAGTTTTGCCTTTGAGAGGTGAAAGTCTCTGCTCACCAACGTGACTAGCGACACCAGTCTACAGAACCTACTAATCTAAACGAACAGCATCACGTTTTTAAGCTAATTCATAACTTGTCAGCAAACATTTCTAGCATGCTACCAGGTATTACCATACACTCATAACTGTGCTGTTCCACGATTTAAATGTAGCTAACATAAGCAGCGGATCTCTGTTGGGTTTGTCCTTCTGCACAGTGTTCGTGTTAGCTGTGCAGCTATGATGCTAACGATATCGAAGCACTTACCTTGTTTGCAACAGTCCACATAAACTCCTAATAAGACCTGAAATAAAAAAATAAAATAATTCGTTAAAATACAGACAGCGGACACAGTTAATAAATGCCACAAAATGTCTCATTTATGATGAGGTTTGTTGCATTTCTCTCACCACGTCCTGTCATTGCAGTCGCCATGTTGGATTCTTTACGACACCACAGTATCTGCTTTACGGCAGAAATGTTTACAGCGCTTGCATAGACATTAGTTTGTCATTTGTCTTCTTCAATACGCAGGTAGCTTAGTAAATTTGATTGCATTACAAAGTTTTTTTCAAGAATAATCTGGGATACTATGTTTACGGTTGTAGTTTTAAAGATGGCAAACTCGGCATGGTTTGGCACACATAGGCTTCCGTCGTCGATACCGGCAGGATTTACGACACCACGCTGACCTGTACGGCCATCAGTGTTGTAGCTACGACAGTTCGGGTAACATGTGAGAAGTTTCAGGTTGGTTTTTCCAGACTGTATTAGAGAAAGTACATATTTTTTTTAAACCCTCCGAGGCGCCATGCGGGACCGGTCGCTGCCCGCCTCCCCGAACTGGTACTGCTCCCGCTGCAGCGATGTGAGCCGCGGCGGGCTGCTGGGAGTCGGAACCAAGAACATCATCAGCCTGATTGACGTGTCTGCATCCAGCTGCAGGGTCTCAGGTGAGTCTGCTGGACGTCTCACCTGCACAGGGTCCACACGGGGTTCATCTGGAGTCTCTGTAGCCTTAAAAAAGAAAAGGTTTGACACGCAGGTAGAAACCAATAAATCAGACCAGTCCGCTCAGGTGAGGTGATCACAACACCTGGGGATACTTCAAATTTCCCCTATTTTGCCCAAAGTATTCGCTCACCTGCCTTGCCTCGCATATGAGCTTTAGTGACATCCCATTCTTAATCCATAGGGTTTAATATGACATTGGTCCACCCTTTGCAGCTATAACAGCTTCAGCTCTTCTGGAAAGGCTGTCCACAAGGTGTAGGAGTGTGTTTATGGGGATTTTTGACCATTCTTCCAGAAGTGCATTTGTGAGGTCACACACTGATGTTAGACGAGAAGGCCTGGCTCTCAGTCTCCGTTCTAATTCATCCCAAACGTGTTCTATCGGGTTGAGGTCAGGACTCTGTGCAGGACAGTCAAGTTTTTCCACACCAGACTCTGCCATCCATGTCTTTTTGGACCTTGCTTTGTGCACTGGTGCACCTTCATGCTGGAAGAGGAAGGAGCCATCTCCAAACTGTTCCCATAAAGTTGGGAACATGGAATTGTCCAAAATCTCTTGGTATGCTGAAGCATTCAGAGTTCCTTTTCCTAGAAGTAAGGGGCCAAGCCCAGCTCCTGAAAAACAACCATAATCCCCCTTCCACCAAACTTTACACTTGGCACAATGCAGTCAGACAAGTACCGCTCTCCTGGCAGCCGCCAAACACAGACTCGTCCATCAGATTGCCAGATGGAGAAGCATGATTCATCACTCCGGAGAACGTGCCTCCACTGCTCTAGAGTCCAGTTGTGGCGTGCTTTCCACCACTGCATCTGACACTTTGCATTGCACTTGCTGATTTAATGGCTTAATAATTGTAACCCATTATTAAAACCCATTCCATGAAGCTCTCTACACACTGTTCTTGAGCAAATCTGAAGGCCACATGAAGTTTGGAGGTCTGCAGCGATTGACTCTGCAGAAAGTTGGCGACCTCTGTGCACCATGCTCCTCAGCATCCGCCCACCTCGCTCTGTCAGGTTACATGGCCTATCACTTTGTGGCTGAGTTGCTGTCGTTCCCAATCACTTCCACTTTGTTATAATACTACTGACAGATGACTGTGGAATATTTAGGGGCGAGGAAATTTCACGACTGGACTTGTTGCACAGGTGGCATCCTATCACGGTACCATGCTGGAGTTCACTGAACTCCTGAGAGCGACCCATTATTTCACAAATGTGTGTAGAAACAGTCTGCATGTCTCGGTGCTTGATTTTATACACAATGTGGCCATGGAAGTGATTGGAACACATGATTTTGATTATTTGGATGGGTGAGTGAACACTTTTGGCAATATAGTGTATGTAAGAGAATCTGACTGAGATACTAACCAGTGCTGGAATTAATTGATAAGTAATTAACCAGTTAGTCACAGAAAGTAGTGACATGTGAGAATTATTTTGAGTCACATATGAAACAAAAATACCAAGATTTGCTGCTTCCCTCTGTTTTAAATTATTGTCATTGTAATAATTCTGAGTTTTAGGTTGTGTGTTGAACAAAACTGAACTATCAATCAAAATAATACTGAAATTACAATATGTCAAAGTAACATTTTCCAAACACCGGACCTGCAATTGTTCTATAAATTGAATAATAATGAATAAAAGTGTCACACTGTGCTGTTATAAATGGAGCATTTGGTACAGATGGCAGCAAAAGTTATAATTTTGTTAAAAAAAAACCCCCAAAACAAACAAACAAAAAAAACAAAAAGCAAAAATTCCCACTGAAACTGAGGTTCATATCTATCAAAAATAATCTCAATCTGATTTCTCCTTTGCTTATCGTTCAGTTCTATTTGAAGACTTTACCTTAACTACTGAGGTTGAATAATTCTAGGAACATAAATAATTAAAGTTTTTCTGACATATGTCGATTTGATTTGTGATATAACTCAAGCCTCGGTTCGATATTCACTATAGTGGATTTAAAGCATGTGATGAGGCATTACATCATGAAAAAACATGACACAGCAGTTCAGACGAGCTGCAAAAGTTATAAAATTTAGCTTTTAAATAACAAAACCCGGTGAGTTGAACCACAGCATTCAGCCAGAACCGTGTAGTTTAGCAGCATAAACAGCCTCTGACGGCTTCAATCTGCTCTTATAATAAGTTGTAATTACAGCATCAGGCTCATTATTTAATAGCAACGCCTCATATACCCAAAATTACAGCCTTTGTTTGAAACGTGTCATTTTCAGTTGAAATCAGGTTCAGCTCTGTTGTTTAACACTGTGATGGTAGTTTGTGGCTATTTCCAGACAATATTGAGACTAAATAATTAATCAATCAAAAGGGGTACAACGCTATTATTATAGGACTTTATAATAGATTAAGATTAATCTAAATCAACGCATTAGAGTTTAACACATCTTCACTTTTAGTTCCACTGAGACTCCACAAACACGGGATGCTACTGTTCCCTTAATGCGACTCAGTGATGCTGTTCATTAGCCCTGCTCGTCTGCTTGTTTCAAACCACATGTTCTGGTGTTTGTCGTGCAGATTTTCTGTAAAAACTGAGTCCAGGTTGTCTGATTTGAGATCTATATCTATACAAACTTGTTAACTAATTCGCAATAAAACAAATAAATTAAAAAGGTGCTATTTTGGCTGTTATGCAGCTGCTGTTTGGTTACAGGTGACAATTAACAACCAATCAGCACTGTAGGATAAATGTTGAAAGGTTCTGATTTAATTAAACACATAGAACTATATCTATATATGTCTGTCCCTTACTTTGTTAAGCGCTGTGTGATAACATGTGTTGTAAACTACACAAATAAAATTGAATTAAACATAAAGAGACAAATGTATGACTGCACTTTTTATGTTTGACTTTGTGTTATTCAGAATTTTAATATCAAGAATTAGATTTTTGCTGCAAATCTCAATTATCCTTCTTGCTGATTACTAATAGTCTGTCCAGATAACATGATTTACATCAAGAGATGTTGTTCTCTCAGACTCTTAGAATCTCTTTCTTAGTCACAGAAGACATTTTAGAGATGTTGGTTCAGTATCAGAAGCTCTGTATTCTGTGATTTTTTTTTTATTTTTTTTTTTACCTGTAAAAGCATCTTTGTGTTCCTCAGGTGAGCTTGTGGGCCACAGAGACTTGGTGTCGGGCTTTTCTTTCTGCCACCATGAAGCTCAGAGTCACATCTGTGTCAGCTCCTCCACCGACGGCAGCGTTCGCTTCTGGGACTCGGACAAGAGGACGCTGATCCGAGAACACGAGTCTCATCAGGTGAGTCGGTTTTATTGCTCCGGCGCCCCCTGCAGGACGCCGTCTGCTGTGCCGGTGCCCAGTTTGTTGTCACATTTCTGTGCTCTGTAATGAGACGGGACTCTGGAGAGGGAGTGTGAAGCATCTGAGCTCGACAGGACAGTTTTTATGCTGCAGGCGGATAAAACGAACACGACAGATTTGTGCAGCTCAGCGATTCAGTGTCTCACTAGAGGGCTGTTTTTTAAAACTGTTATCAAGGTGAGAGAGGGCAGCGCTTATTTACTCTCCATTAGTTGCTTCAAATGATGCCTTTAAGCAATAAAGTTTCTGTGGTTTAACCTGAAAAATAAGAGCCATAAACTAATACAGTGACAAGATTCAGCCCTTTTAAATAAAATCCGACTGCCGGCACAACAAAAACGAATCACAAATCAATTAGATACAGCAAACACATTTAATCTCGCTTTCTAATTGTTCATGTCCTACTGCAATGAATGAATTTAGGATTTCTCATGAAGGTAGAATCAACGTAAACCGTCCTCTGAATCATTCTTCCTGACAGAACCCGGTGTCGGCAGTGCACTGGTCGCCTGTGGATAAAAACCTGGTGGTGTCGGGGGATGAGAAAGGCATCGTGGTCTGTCACTGGTTCAACACGGGAGACACCAGCAGCTTCTTCCCCGAGCCGAGGACCATCTTCTGCCTCAGCTGCTCCCCGCACACCTGGAGCTCCGTGGCAGTCGGGTAGGAAGACCGAAGAGCACACGTCGAAAACACGCCGTTTAAAAACTCTAATCTGAACTAAACGTAGGCTTAGGCTGAGTAGGAGTCAAGATAATGTCATTTTAATTGTAGAAGTGATGATTCCTGGTTGTTTCTTTGAGTTCAGATAGCCCAGTCTGTGCTCAAGAGACAGAAAATAGGACTAAAATCATTAAAATGAATAGAACGTGCACCCCTCAGATATGCTGGTTCTACTGTGATGGTGTTATTTTATATAAACAAGAGAGAATTTTACTTTAAATCTGTCCAAACTGATATATTTGACGTCTGTAAAGCAAATTAATCTGTTGGCTGCCTTCAGTTTTGTGAACTGATTCAAGTGAACTTTGTGAATTGTGACATAAGCCATCTGTGTGTGTTATTAGTGATTTATTGTCAAAGTAATTCACTTTTTGATCATCAGTTCACACTGTTTACTCTCCAACAACTTTGGAAAATTGCTTAAAAACACATTAAATTAAAATGGCTGCAGCTCCTGAAATATATCAATTAATAAGACATTGAAAGAAAGAAAAAACATCAGAATCTCTAATGAAAGAAACCTGAAGGACACTAACAAAATACCAACAATAACTGCTTCAGGTTTGGTTCAGATATTTTCAAATTTCACAGTTCTACAGTGAGTTTTTATGAAGTAATGTACATGCAGATCGGAAATAACGATCACATGTATGTGAGGGAATATCAGGACAAAATATAGTTTAACAGTATTTTATTAGAACCTAGTCATAATAACCAATGTTCGACTCGGTAAGTTTGATCATTTACGGTACAAACTGAATTTGAATTGAGTCCATTTTCTTCTTTCAGTACAATAATTAAAGGAATGTGATGTAGAGAAATGAGAACGGTTGAGATGAAGAGGTTTTAACTACTCAAAACCAAACTAAAGCTCACCTCGGTTCCTCTGTGCTCCTTTTCAGGGCCTTTTATCAAAAAACACAAAACTGTAAAATGTCATTTTCTTCCATTTTTATTTTACAAAAAATTTGCATATCTGAAATCTGAGGGTGCCACAAATGTTGAAAGCTGTTTGTGAAGTTCAGTCAAACAACAGATGTCAGTAAAGCGTGACGTCGCTGTCGCAGGTACAAAGACGGGATGATCGTGCTGATCGACGTCAGTAAGAAAGGCGAAGTGATGCATCGTCTCCGCGGACACGACGACGAGATCCACTCGCTGGCCTGGTCACCAGTGGGACGCGAGGACGCTTTGTACAGCCGGTCTGAGGACGGGGAAGGTAGCAGCCTGCAGCCAGTTACAGAAAACCCCCCCACTAATATAGCACAAGTTTGGTGCACAAGAAGTTCCTCTGTGCATCATTTATTTATTTTTTGTGCTCTAGCTACCAACGGGGTGTCTGCAGCGGAGGAGAGCGGCGGCTACCTGGCTTCTGGGAGCAAAGACCAAACTGTGAGGATCTGGAGCACAGCGAGGGGAAAAGGTGATTAGCCCAGACAGACAAACAGAAGGAATCTTGTCATTCATCACCCTGATTCCTGTTGTTACAGGAGTTATAAAGGCTTTAAACATTACATTTGTCACTTACAATAACAGAAAATTGAAGCAGTTTAAGGTATTAACTGAAGACGAGGTTTAGAATTCATCAAATACCGCAGCAGATGAACAAATTCTAAACACATTTCAGGCTCAGTGTAGATTGTTTTGTTGATTTTCATTGCACAGTAGTTACAATAATAGGTTGTTCCTCAGTATCTGCAGGAAACTTTTTAAAATGTATTTAACAAGCAAAAGCCTCTTTAAAGTTAGAATCTCTCCACAAGAAGTGGCAGAAGATAACAAGTTTAAATGAGTTTTACATCAAAATTAAGAGCGTTATCGCTCTATAAAATCATAATTAACAGAAATATGTGACATAAGGATTCAGTAAAGATGATTCAGGACATCTAACGTACATCTGAAGTCACGTAAAGTTGCTTCACATTCATTTAGTGATGAGCAGAAAGCAGGAACAAGTCCTGGGAGTGGAGACAGCAGCTTCCTGAACAGTTTTTTTGGAGCAGATAAAGATCCGTAGATATGAAGGAAGCAGCCCAAGAAGAGTTTTATAAAAAAGAACAAGCCAATAATTGAAGTTAGATTATACAGCTAAAATCCCACTCAGAGAGGAACTTGCTGATCTTTATTAATCGTCTCCGGTTCCTCTTGCAGGTGTTACGACGTTAAAGCTGCCTTATCTGAAGAAACGAGGCTCTGCGGTCGACCCCGGCGTCAAGGAGAGACTCTGGCTTCACGTCCACTGGCCGAAGGGACGGCCGACGCAACTGGTGTCGAGCTGCTTCAGGTGAACCCACATTCTACCGCTCGGAACCTTAAACTCAGCCGGATTAAACACGACTACGGCGGGGCTCGGTCATCTGTCAGGAAGGTCGGGTTGAGTGCAAACAGTCCTGGAAAGAAACGTAACGGCGTAGATGTGGCCTGTGGTTTGCATTTTAACTGTTTTTTATTATTCATTTTCTTAATCAAATACGGGTTTTTATGGCAGATGTTTTCACTATATTGTTATATTGTGATGCAGCTGCAAACTGGAGCTGCTGAAAATAATACTGACGGAGCAAAATAACTCTATTTTAGAGCATTTTATTTTGCAGTAAGCAGAATCGCTGAATCCTCACTAGGGTCGCGGGGGGCTGGAGTCTATCCCAGCTGACTCAGGGTGAAGGCAGGTTCACCTGGACAGGTCACCAGTCTATCACAGGGCTACACTTAGAGACAGACAACCAAGCACACTCACATTCACACCTACGGACAATTTAGAATCACCAATTAACCTCAACATGTTTTTGGACTGTGTGGGAGGAAGCCGGAGAACCCGGAGAGAACCCACGCTGCACGGGGAGAACATGCAAACTCCACACAGAAAGATCCCGGGTGTCTTCATCGGGATGCGAACTGGCGACCCTCTTGCTATGAGGCGATGGTGCTGCCCCGTCACAAAACAAAGATGTTAAAATGTGAAAAGGCCGTTTATAGGCCACAGAGTTTGTTTTCAGCTTCTTCTTTTGCTGTTCTGAGGAGCTTGTGGTTAATAAAATGATTGAAATGATCCGTTCTCTCTCCCCAGCGGTGAGTTGATGATGTGGGACTTGACCAAAGCTGGGAAGCAGAGGTGGACTCTGTTGGGAACGTCCTCAGAGGGTCAGAACCACAGCAGGATCGTCTTCAACGTGAGCTCACTGCAGCTGCCGGAAGGCAAAGAGCTGCTCTTCAGCACCTCCATGGACAGAGAGGTGGGTCCTAAATCCGTCCTTTCTGGTTCGATTTTTGGGATTCGAATCAGGAGTCACGCGTCTCTGATTGGAGCTTCAGCCCTGCTGGCTAAACAGAAAGCCTCTACTTCGCAAAACAGAATATTTTGGTTGAATCAGCTCTTTTAAATCCACATTTTTAAACCTTTCTTTCACAGAGCAGCTCATTGGGAGCAGTAAACTTTGCAGAGCAAAACACTTGTGAAATATTTAGACATTATCTGTTGTAGATTAGAGATGTAACCATAATTGATTTGAGCAATTAATAACATAAAGATGAAAGAGTTTGAACATCTTCTGGTTTCTTCCCTCCTCTGTCACACTAAACTGAACATCTTTGTGGACAAAGCAACACGTTTGTCATGTTGGGAAACGCTGATCGAACGCTCTGACATTTTCCAGACAAAACGCTCTTTAAGGAAAACAACTGACTGGTTAATCGAGACTGAAAATAATCATTAGCTGTAAATGTTTCACCAAATACAGTCTTTAAGTAATAACTGGGAAACCTGCAGCTACAGCCGGCAGCTTAGCACAAAGACTGGAAGTAACCAGAGTTTACTTTTGTTATTTGGGACCCAAAACTTAATTCTTTGAAATATTTTTGGCAGAATTTTGAGAATACATGTTTTCACACCTTCATTTTTTTGATTTTCCCCCTCTTAAAAAAAAAAAAAAAAACATTCTGAGAAGCTATTTTAAGGGTTCAATATCTCCAGAAATAGAACTCCAACAGCCATGAAATTTGGTGAGAACACAGACAGAATAGTTTCCAGCAGATATAAATGATTAAATACTCCAGCAGTGGGCACATTTTTATTTACTGGAACTTAAAAATGGAAAAACAAAGTGCAAAATCTTCAAACAAGGGGCTCCACAACCTGAGACATGAGTGTCACTCTTGTTTTTGGCCTGAAAGTGAATATTTCCCAACATGTGACGACTGTTCGCCTCATCTCCTGACTTGACCTTTCTGCAGATCAAATGCTGGGACTTGGCCTCTCTGGACTGCTGCTGGACTCTGCCCACCCTCGGCGGCTTCGTCTACGCCCTGAGCTTCTCCCCCGTGGGCTCCGGGTGTCTGGCGCTGGGCGTCGGCGACAACATGATCCGGGTTTGGAACACGCTGACCACCCAGAACCAGTACGACACCCGGGCCTTCTGGCAGGGCATCAAGTCGAAGGTCACGGCGGTACGACATCTGAAAGCTTCACGTGATGAAATGTTTACCTCGTTTGCTATTAATGTTGATCTTTGGTTAACCAGTCCATCTAAAATGGTGCCTGACCTACTGTCTAGCTGGTGGTCACAGTTAAGTAGCATTTGAGATTCAAGTGTGAGTACTTGAAATCTATTTTCAGAGCAGTGAGGAGAAAGAAACAACTTAATGACGTTTAGATTTAGTGTCCACTAGTCATGAAGTTGCAGGTTTGACACCAGGATACTCTTTTACATGCACAAGTGTGCAATCTCTGCTAACTGCAAGCACACTGGCAATTTCTGCAAGAACTGCACCTTCTAGTTATTAGCTCAAAGCCTAACAAGCTGGGATATGCAAAAAGAAAAAGAAAAGATTTCATGGTGCTCTGATGCATTTGTGACTAATAAAGGTTTCTCGTGCCCCAGACTCACCTGTTAGCCACCTGCAGCCTTAAAATCCAGGAGACGTTTATAAACTTGCTGTAACTCCGGCTGTGCGTGATCAGTTTTTACATCCTTTAAATTTTACTTCAATCTTCCAGCTTCCATCAGAGTTTTGTGATCGTGACTGAATTATATCAAGCACTGAGCTGTTACTAGTGTCACACATTCTTTGATGAAACAAAAGCAGCCGTTGAGATAAGATGCACTAAGAAACTCTCCGTTTGTTGCAGTTGGCCTGGCACCCGAAAAAAGAAGGATCCTTGTCTTTCGGAACAGACGACGGTAAAGTTGGAATCTACGACGTCTTCTCAAACAAGTAGGATCCTTTATTTACTGTTCCCTCCTCCCACACATACTGTTGACCGTCTACTGTTACCTTTTAATAAATCACCTTATGTGGGGAAACCATTTTAATATCTCAAGAAATAAAACTCCCACAGCCATGAAATTTGGTGAGAAAACAGACTCAATTGGTTCCAACAGATCCAGAGATGGAAAGTGTCCATCAGAGGCCATGTTTTAAAATTCCTGGCCCTTGAATGTTGGAATAAAATACAATATTTTCAAACGAGGGTGGTATTGTGTCCTTAAAAAGTTCCTATAAGTGTACACACACATATGGATGGACTCATATTTCCTATTAAAATACAGTCTTTGGTCGACATTTCAACCACATCTGAGGCTCTAACATCAGTAGAATATGTTGTTGTTCAAATATGACCTGAAAAGGTTCCAGTGTTTTGTTTTTTTTTTTGTTATTTTGGCAAAATGGTGATGTGGACTCATTGGTAGGAGACAAAAACTAGTGAACATAGGAGTCTATATATTGTTATTACATGTGCAAAGTTGCTTCCATGTATTTTAATTTTTCTTATAACAAATAAGTAAACTAAACAAAATCTGGAGCAACAATGTTGTCTGGAATGACACAAACTGACTCATGACTAACGTACAAACTTAAACGTGTGTGTACTTTGAGATATAATCACAGTTTTATGAATAATAAACTACTTTGTGTCTGTTAGACCTCAGTGATGATGTGTTTTCTCAAAAATTCTACAAGAAAACACTTTAAAAATGACGTCCAACATGATTCTCAGCCACAAAAGCAGGATGATTGTTTTGATCTCTGTTGGACTTTGGAAACTTTTCTGAAAGTCAGTTTCTTGTTTTTTGCTGGGAGCCTCGTGGGTTCTTCTCGTAATCCCTCGAGGGCCCCGGAGTCCCATTTCCTCCACGTCGCTTGTCCCCTGACTGGGCATTTGTTCTGCTTCGTCTCCTCACAGGCCTCCTCAGATATCGAGCTCCTATCACCGAAAAACAGTGTACACGTTGGCCTGGGGACCCCCAGTCCCCCCGATGTCATTTGGTAAGTTCTTAATGAACTCTTAGCAACTGCTGAACGCTCTGACCCAGCAAAAACACTGGCAGTGGGACGCCGACAAAAGCGGCGACTCAGCGAAAAAACGCCAAACATCGCCGCACGCCCCCTTGTAATCGACTCGGTAATTGAATGAGCCGAGGAAACACTCACGGCTCACCTCCTTCCACTCGAGCCGCTCGTGGGGAAATCAAGACGCGGGAAGTTAATTTTACCAGCTGTCGGCAGACGACATTTTGATTAGCGTATCACTCACTCGGCGTCGGGGCTGCAAACGTAATTGTTGCCGTGCCAACAATCTGCTGATGGCTCCTAAACGAACAAAAGGAGCCGCTAATTTGTTTACCTGCAGCCCTGGCGCCGGTTCAGTTCGCTTCACGGAGCTCTGATTGGCTGCGATCGCTTACAGGGAGGGTGCAGAGTGAAGCGGGACCAGCTGCTGCCTCCTTCCTCTTCTGTAGAGTCGTCCACATGCTCAGTGAGCAAAGTGAACAGGTTTCATCTCTCCATAACTGTAGGTAGAAGTAGACGAGCAGTAGATGAACAGAGGCGACAACTAAAGTTTTTATAAATGCATGTGTTGAATCTATTTCGCTGATCAAAGCCGTCGATGTCAGCATCACTATCGTTGGGCTTTAAAATGATTTTTCTGTCTCAAATCACCAAATTTTTTAAAAGTAATTTCTGCTCAACCACCTATAATTTGTCTGAAACTTTTCTAGCATAAAGATATTTGTGAAATTTTAGTCTGTTGTGTCAGAAAGTTTGCTAAAACATTTGCTAAAACTTCACAGATTTCCTTTTAAATATCCAAAGTTTTCGATGAAATAAATTTTAATGGTGGGCTGCAAGGTGGCTTCCTCCCACATGTTGAGGTTAATTGGTGATTCTAAATTGTCCGTAGGTGTGAATGTGAGTGTGCTTGGTTGTCTGTCTCTAAGTGTAGCCCTGTGATAGACTGGTGACCTGTCCAGGGTGTCCCCTGCCTTCACCCTGAGTCAGCTGGGATAGACTCCAGTCCCCCCTCGCGACCATAGTGAGGATTAAGCGGTGTATAGATAATGGATGGATGGAAGTTTTAATGGTCGAGCACATCATCTGAGATGGAGCACACATTAAATAAATTAACTTTTTATATGTTTTTCTGCTTGAAGTGACCAATATACTGTCGTCTCCTGCTGTATTACAGACCAACATGGTCATAGCTGAACCAAGAAGAAGTTCTTTTTTGTATTTTTGTGAGATCTGGTTGCAAACTTGCCCCGTAGACAAGCCTGCATCTCTTTAAAAACTGGTTGTAATCAGGCTTTTTTCTACCAGAAAGCATTTAAATTACAAGTATTCAGTGCTTTAGTTAAAATATGAGTGCTGAAGGGTGTCAGTACCATTAGAAAGAGTGCTTAAGATGTAGTTGAACGCTAAACATGTTCCCTAAAATGTAAAAAGCTGGATTTCAATAAGGGTTAAAGACTAAACTCATCCAGCAGCTGATCCAAAAAAAAAATGGAGCAGAAAGAAAAATGTGTGTTTTTGTGTGACGTCCAGGCGCGGCGGGAGGAAAGCCGACGTACAGCCTTTACAGCTGCGCCGGCGAAGGAGTGATTCTGCAGCACGATCCGTCCAAACTGAGTGGAGACGCGTCGGACATCGACCGGCTCATCAGAGACACCAACAACATCAAGGTGGGACACACCTTCATGTCATGATGATGGACGGATCGGGACTGTTTTACCTGCAATCTGTGTCACAAGTGAAGCTGATGTCCCTGCATGTACCCACTGGACTGGTCACTGAAGAATCAATCCAGTTTTCTTCCCAGTAATCCAGGTCAATGCTTCGCCAAAAAGGCAGCTGCACTTAGTTTTTGGTCGCTCAAGATGTTTGATTTCTCATCCAAGACGCTTCACCAGTTCTGGTGGGGAGGTCCAAATATTTAATGTCACCCTCAAATGACTGAAGGTGTTGGGGGTGAAGCTGCCTGGTGAGGAGCCTCAGGACTGCAGTGTAAGTACCTGATACGTTCCAGTTTTGCCTTCAGTCCTCTCTGAACCATCTGTCTTCTGAACAGATGAGGAAATATACAACACCACTTATCAGGTACTTACAGTGCAGTCTTGAGATCCCTCCTCAGGCAGTTTCACCAGATTCCTGCGCTGTTGACACGTCATAAACACCTGAAACTCCACACCAGGCATTTAGAACCGAGGAAACCTCTCGGGTGAAGCGTCTTCAACAAAGTCCAGTTGTCTCCTGATAAAGCATTTAGGACAGGGTTCTCCAACTCCAGTCCTCGTGAGCTACTGTCCTGCAGGTTTTGAACGTTTCCGTTCTGCAACACACCTGCCTCAAATTATCATTAACAATCATTAACAGACTTGTGTAGAACATGACAACAAGCTGTTGGAGATCCATTAATGTGAGTCTGGTGTGTTGCAGCACATAAACATCTAAAACCTGCAGGACAGTAGCTCATGAGGACCGGAGTTGGAGATCCCTGATTTAGGATGTGTTAAACTTTCCAATACAGGCTACACACTAAATAACTTGTGCACAAAGGGATTGCATTTGTGTAGGTGCTGATATGTATTGTCAAAATGCATAAAACCAAGTCACAATCCTACACTGCAGTGTCCAAAGATACACAGCCGCTCAGTCACACTTACATACAGTTTTGTGGTACCAGCTATTTCCTGAAACATCCAACGTTAAAGCTTTTACCACAAATCACACAGAGCAGAGGCCTGGCATTTTCTCTGGCCGCCCGCAGAAAGAAACCAAACCTCCCCGCTTGAAAATCTTCCTTTATCACTCCTTTTCCCCATCAGGAGCAGACAGCACAGAGCCACCACTAGTTACATACGCTTTTAAATGTTTAAAAGTATTTTTTCTGATTTAAATTTTCATGAAGTTTTAAGGATAAACCAGGAATGAGGTAACCTACCCTGCCGCCCATCACACCACTGTCGAGCAGCCTGACACAAAGAGTTTAAATGATGCGTGATAGCAGGCACTGCGATTTCTGCATTCTGTGCCCTCTTAAATCTGTGGAACCCAGCTGTCACCCTCAGTAAAACCCGACCAACACACCCTGGAAACTTAACAGCACAAGTCGGCATATTTCAGGTCGTCCGTGTCGGAGCTTTAATGGAGTCGATAACGTGACGGTTTGTTTTCTGCCGGCTGCTGCATGTAAATAGAGGTGATTTAAACGGGGTTGTTAAGGTGAGCTCTGCTTCCCAACAGCACAAGCTGTCTCCACACACCGACCTCAGCTGGAAGCCAGATGGGAAAGTTGTCGCCATCGGCAACGAGGACGGGTGAGTGAACGTCCGGTGGGAGTCCAGCGAGGAACCAACTGTCCGCTGACAGTGTGCCGTCTTTAGGCTACAGAATAATGAATTTCGTCCTGCGTGAACTTTTGCACTCTATTATCTGGGCCACATTCTGGGTTTCTGATTGGATGTCGCACCGACTCATCCGAGCACCTGAACCAGACAGCAGAATGTAAAAAGACAGCTTAGATTGAAAATAGAATTTAATAAACACGATGTGTTACACAGGTGCATCTCACATAAATAAATCAATTTTTAAAAAGACATGTTATGAGCTGTAAGCTGTTGTCATCTAAATTACAACAAACAAAAAAGGCTTGAAAATTTTCGGTTTATGTGTAATGAGTCTAGAATATAAACAGTTTTCACTTAAAGCAACATCTGATGAAAAAATATTGACATTTTTCCACCATGTTCTGATTATATGAGATGCATCTGGAACAGCAGCAACGTTTGAACGTCTGTGTGAGATTGTAGATGTGAAGCATCAAAGTTTCACTCATCTACTGTTTATTTTTTGAAAACAATTATGTTTTATAAAGCTGAAACCCCTCAAAAGCCCTGGCTCTCTACCTGCCAGTGACTGAAAATCAAAGTCAGAAGGGAAAGAGTCTATTATTTCCCTTAGGCGCTCTCAGAGTGGCAGATTTTTAAGAACTAGTCTGGTTGCATCTCATCCTGTTTTCCTGGTTTCTTGTCTCCTTTTATTATAAATCTCTGACCGCCTCCTCTGTGCTGCAGGTGCATCGACGTGTATCAGGCTCCCAGTCTGAAGCTTCTTTGCAGCATCCAGCAGCACCACAAGATCATCAACACGCTACGGTGGCATCACGAGCACAGTTCCCCTCCGGAGCTGCACGGCCTGCTGGCGTCGGGCTCCAGCAACGCCACCGTCTTCGTGCACGATCTCCACTCCGTGATAGGTGGGAGGAACGCTCTGCAGTGTTCGGCCTCTGCAGGGAAATTCATTGCAGTTTCTACGTTACTCGTGCGAGCTTGATTCTGCAAAAAAATTGTCTTTTTTTGCAGCTGACGTGTTTGTGTTTTACTGATTTGACTGCTTGTCGGTTCCCTGTCATGGTTTACTGAGACACTAGAGGAAACTTAAGCTTTTCTTTTAAAATATCTGCCCTGAAAAACTTCCGCCGGGAGCTCAAGTCAAATAAAATGAAAGTTTGGCTTCATAAACTAAACTTTATGCAAAAATGGTAGCATCCAACTGACTAACTTTAACTTGAAGTTGGTTTATACTCAGGAGTGTGTCATACTGGGCTTGAAAATTTTAATTTAACTTCAATTTAGAGATAAAAGTTTTGAGAACCTTTGCGTTTTCTAGCGGTTAATTTTACTGTTTATTTGGAGAAAAACTGTCTGTTTTTGAATATTACAGAATGTTTCTTTGTTAAAAAACTGCCAAGAATTCCATTTTTTCCACGATTTTGTTAATTACCAGCAGATGATAAAATTAGCTGCTTCGTCAAATAGCAGCTTGGCAGGTTGTTACAACTTTCTCAGTAACCAAAGCCCCAATGTTAAACCTTTTTCCAACTATTGACTTTTATAAGAATGTTTTTTTTCTCTGCAGACAAGTTGAACATCCCGTTTGTTTTGCACTTTTCTACACAAAAGTTTCAAAATGTAAGAAATCATCGTCTAAAGAAGACTTTAATGGTTCCTGGTTTTTCCTCCTGTGCAGAGAATCCTCCAGATAGCCCCGTGGTTCTGACCGAACCGTACCGCCGCCTGTCCGGACACACGGCTAAAATCACCAACATGGCCTGGAGCCCTCACCACAGCGCCCGGCTGGTCACCGTCTCCTACGACGGCACCGCTCAGGTCAGCACTGCACAAAAAAAACACCGTCCTCGCTATGAGACCAGCGTGTTTTGTAGGTAGACGGCGAAAAAAACAGTATGACGTCAATGTGAAGCTGCAACAGAAGCACAAACTGTAAAACAGAAATCAATACGCAAGTTAGACACGATATAAGTATGAAGTCACAGCTGTGCTAGCTACCAATTAAATAATGAACTAAAGGGTTTAATGTGTTCTATATTTGGTTTCTTGTGACTAAGGCCATGTTTACACGTAGCCGGGTATTTACAAAAATGGATCTAAAAAACAACATTGTTCACACCAGATCGTTGTTCGTTTACACAAACCCACATAAATATGTCATTAAGAGCTGCTATGAGCTGCCAAACCTATAGGGGGCAGTGTAATGAGAAGCGCAAAGCCATGCTAGTCAATCAGAATCCTGGAAGAAACACAACAGCGAATAGCACGAATTACTTACTGTTGCTTCAACGATAATGGCGCAAGGGTCGTTTGTTTGGACCGACAGAGAAGCTCCTCCACATAATAGAACATTGCTGGATGTAAATGCAAACAGGCCAAAAGCGTTGCACAAACATAGAAACAAGCAGCGCTTTAACAGCATCCATTTCTATCACAGCAGCCAAACTGTAAACATGGTCGCACACATATGACGCTGATGACTCTTTTGTCGCACACTGTGACGCCAAACTCAGTCTCCTTCTGTTTACATGCAAACGTAAAGACGAAGTTTTTCCGAATCTCCACTTTGGCCGGAGTTTTCAGATGTGATCGCTTTTGGTGACTTGTAGTTTCGTTTACATGTAAGCCAAAGGCCCGTTGAAATATCACTGTTTTTGCTACGTGTAAACGGGGCCTTAAACGCCAAATGAATAAAATACTAACAGACGAGTCGAGTCCAAGGCAGCAACGTGGGAAAATAAACACTACTGACCAAGCAGTAGGGGGCGCTGTAGCACATGAAACTCAGAATCAACCCCAAAACTGCAGAACGTCTGGAACCTGTTTGTTTTTTTACACATTTTCTAAGCTCTAAAATGACGATGGTTCCTTGGTTTTGTTCCGTTCAGGTGTGGGACGTGTTGGAAGAGGCGGCCGTCTCCAACTACCGCGGCCACGTCGGCTACCTGCTGAGTGTCGACTGGTCGCCAGTGGACCCGGACGTGGTCTGGACCGGAGGGAAGGACTTCACCGTGCAGGAATGGAGCGTCTCCAAGCAGGAGTTCACCAAGCCGCCAAAAGGTGAGCGTCTGGTAAGAACCGCCAGAACGCCTCGAGAACAACCGGCCTGTTTGTGTAACCGTCTGCGTGTTTGTCCTCTCAGGGAAGAAGATGGTGGATCTGAAGGAGAAGATGAAAGCCAACCCCAAGCAGAAGAGGAAGAACAAGAAGGCGAGCGGAGGAGCAGCGCCGGCGGACGTGAACGGAGAGACGGTTCTGGGAGGAGAGAAGGTGGCGGGGCCGGGTCAGGATCTGTCCGCTGAGGATGAGGAGGATGAAGTCAGCTCCACCAACAGCCCGGTACCTGCTGCAGGTAGCAGCAGAGTTATATCTGATGTAAAATCAGCAGGAACATCTGCTCCGACAACTCCGATTGGCTCGAAGCTTTTTTTATTATAAACTATCAATATTCAGAATGGTATCTGTTAAATTTTAGCTCAACGTATAAAACATCACGGTAACAGTGCTGCCTGCTGACCCACTTTCAGCACGTTTTTATTGCACATTGTAATTCAGGTCGTGTTAGAATGACAGTCAGATCTCAGAAACATTTAAAGATAAAAAGCCTGAAATTCTCCCGGTTGTTTCTCATCATGTCGTTGATTCAGAATCTCCGATATCGAACAAGTAGATGAAATAGTCTCTGATTACGGGTGAGTTGAATTTTTAAAAGTGAAAAAGCACATTAACAAAAGACTAATAATACAGAAGTCAGCAGCTGATGGTTTCTGAGCCACACATAGCTGCAGGTCACTTTAATCCAAAACCAAACATGTAGAATACTGTTTATGTTTGTGTTTATTGTGAAATATTTGATCAAGAATGTTCTTTTCTTAGAACTTTTTGAACTGATTGAGCAGATTTGACAAGTTGCACCACAAAGGTAAAATATTCAAGGTAGAGAGTTCAATCCAAGTAATAAATATAACTAAGAAAGAGTCATTTACCGACTTTGTAGGCTTATTTAATATACTTACTGAATTCATGAACTTATTGAAAGATTTGTTTGAAGGTAAACTGTTGAGCAGTTTAAATTTCTGAATTCAGACTTGAAGGCCACATTTCTTCTTTCTTTTTCTTCTTTTTTAAAAAAAAAAAATATATATCCACTCAGCTATAATCAGACATCATTTGATCTACTTGTCCAGTTTCACAGATTCTGAATCAATAACATGATGAGAAATAACAGTGAAGATTTCAGGCTTTTAGCTTAAATGGTTTGTGAGATATCGTCGCTCAAAGTTTAAAAAATAAAATAAAAAACTACAAAAATTCAAACCATATTTGAGATATGAAGCCAAAAGGTCACAGATATCTTTCTGCATATCTACAGTTTGTGATAAAAGAAATTTCAGGCAAATCAGAGACAGTGGAGCAGATTTTTTTCCTGAAGACTTGATGGTTTAAGAATCCCTGCTGCTGCCTTTGTGTCAAGACTCAAAATTAATTCTCTTTTTTTTTTTTTCAGCCACTTTTGAGATGCAAAGAAAATCATCTGCTGCTGTAAAGAGTAAAGACAAACCAGGTATGTACTGTAATGAATTAAAAAATAAACACAAATGCATATTTCTGTCCGTCATTGTGTGACTTTGTGTGTTTGTGTCTACGTTCAGACGTGACCTTGCTGAAGAAGAAGAAGCCTCGCTCCATGCTGCCGCTCAGCACGTCCATGGACCACCGGCCCAAAGAGGAGCTGCTGCAGGACTGCATCACTCTGGCTTCTGTCAGGCACGGCGACGGTGAGACGATATTTGGTTTATCGTCTAAAAAAAACTAAGAAAGATAACTTCTAATACATATACACACACCAATAAATGACAAATCCCTTCTCAAGCCCTTGAAATCTTCTACTGCTGGCGACATCAAACCAAATTCAAACCAGAAAAGCAGCTTTTTTCAGCCCCTAAACTGTGAAGGTTATTCTGGTAGATTAATCATAGCAACTGGACTTGCTTGAGTTCCATGAAGATGTTCCACCTCTCATCCAAAAAGCTTCATCAGTTCTGACTGACGAGTTGGGAGTTCCAGATACTTATATCCTAAGGAGCCATGAACACCTGAGTTTCAGTTTCAGTTGGGGTTTGTTGCTCCTCCCCCTCGTTATGTGAGTCGTTAGTGCTCCCCTGCCACAGAGGGGTTCGTTAGGGTCTTTTGTGGCTAGGTGGATGTGGTTTCATCTTCATGGGGAGAGATCTTAGGACTGAACTGTAAACAGGTGAGAGATGATGCCTCAGACCTCCACCTCTGTTAAGTGATGGTCTTATTAGTTTGACGCTTCTTTCACCCCTCTCTCAAACCATCTGTCCTTCCTGGCCAGCATCTGTACGTTGTTGTCTTCGAATGAGTGTCCTTTGTCCTTATCATGCAGGTGGACTGCTGAGTCCTGTCCTGAGAAGCTGGCTCTTGTGGAGCGGTTGTTTTGTCTCCCTGATGTACAGGTCTGGGCATTCCTCGCTGCACTGGACTGCGTACAACACGTTGCTTTGTTTTTGTCTCGGTGTCTTGTCCTGAGGGTGAACCAGTTTCTGTCTCAGGGTGTTGGTGGGTTTGAAGTGTAATCGAATGTTGTGTTTGTTGAAACAGAAACTCAGGTGTTAATGGCTCCTTTAGGATATAAGTATCTGGAACTCCCAACTAGTCAGTCAGAATGGATGAAGCCTCTTGGATGAGAGGTGAAACGTCTTCAAGAAACTCAAGCAAGTCCAGTTGCTACGATTAATCGACCAGAATAACCATCACCTGGATGACTGAGAATCTTCACAGACATAAACTGTGAAAGATAAAACCTTTGTAACCTGGCCGTCTACTACCATATATATAATGAGATTTTTATACCTCCTTGCTGTTTATTGTTACATGTGCGTCTCATATAATTAGAATTAGGTGGAAAAAGTTCATTCATGAGAAGACATTTCTCAAAGTGAAAGTTAAACATATTCTAGACTCGTTATACATAAATTGAACTTAACTCAACCTCTGAGTTATATTTACTGCTTTTACTTTTGTATTTTATGATTTTTAACAGTTTTTTTTGTGCTTTATTTTTAACATTAAAGCAAATGTGTCGCATAAAAGGTGCTATACACATATTATTCTCACTATTATTGTTGTCATAACATGGATGAGTTAGACTAGTTAACAGGTAATTAGACGGTAACGGGAGCTGAGCTATGTCATGAGCTGTACACCATCTGTTGCCTTGGTAACACACAAAGTCATGATGCAGGGAGGAGCCGAGAAGGTGCGACTGTACGTCCCCTGAGGTGGTCTATGATTGGCTGTAATTCCCCAGATTCACCTGCTGCTTGAGGACGAGGAGCAGCATATCAGCACATTAACATCTGCACCGTCACCCATGAGGGGAGATAAATGATGCTGCCAATGTCAGAAGAAATCATAACACCTTAACACCAACTATTAGATCGCCTACTATCAGACAGTAATATAAGTTAACGACTGACCAGCTGGATATTTTTGGTTTAGTTACAAGCAAATCCAGGTTTTCTTATGAAACGCCACGTGAACTGGTTTGCTGACCGGTTGTGTGTCTGGATCCCAGCAGCTCCTGCCGGCTGCGTCCCAGGTCAGGGAGACCACGTCCACCTGGGCCTGTTCGCCGACAGAGCGGCTCTGCAGCGCATGTTCCAGGCAGAAGGTACGTCTGTTGTTTGTCTTTCTTCAGCCTGGAATAACAATTATTGAATTTTTGAAGATACGATTATCCACACTTTGTGATGCTGGGAGTACTGAGGACAGATGTCTCCGTATCAGTCACTGCTGACAGCAGTTTCTGAAGCAGTTTGCTGGAGAAGCTAACCAACAGAAATATAAATCAGATGCTGCTGCCTTTGCGTCTCTGACTGTTCGATTAAAAGACTAAGCATCACTCACACACACTCCCTGGATTAGAGATCTTAGGCACGTTTTGCAGGTAGAAGAAGTTCGATCCACTTTGATCGGATCGTCTGGCACGTTTGATAATGTCCTGCAGCTGCTAATCTCACACGTCAAATCCTGCAAACTCAATATAACTTCTTAAGGATGATTGTTTTGAGACTTGAGTGTTGCTCAGATATGCAGAGAGATGGATAGACAGCAAGATAGATGACCAAATAAGGAAAATAATGCAGAGATCATGCAATTAATGTACAAATCGTTCTGGTTGAAGAAATAAGGTGCAAACTTGCTGGTATTTGCAATTAAAAAAAGAAAGTCATAAAAAATTCTCTCTTATTTTTCTGGTGTTTAGCAAACAGAAATAATTCTGGTCATCCTAACTGACCTGAAACAGGAAGAGTTTAGTCTGATTTAATGTCAGAGAGTGACAAAAAAACGAAAAGATTGTGTTTTTGTACAGTGTATGTAAACTTGTGAATACACTGGTGGTAGTTCAATATGGTAGCAGCTTGTTGAGCTGTACAGTCGTGCAAATGGTTCAGTAAGGGACGTTTATGTGTCTTTTAAAGAGAAAATGTCCAAAAACCGTTCAGCTTTCGGAACAAGCCTTGAGTAGAGAGGAGCAGTCATCCATTCTGCCGTCTGTGTTGGTTTTCAGAGGACGGCCACGTGGAGGCCGGTCACTTCGACTCCGTCGTGTACCTGCGGCTGTGGAGCGGCGACCTGGAGGGGGCGCTGCAGCTTGCCACCGAGAAAGGAGAGCTCAGTGATCACCTGCTGTCCGTGGCTCCCATGGGTAAAGACTCAGACGCTGATTCAGGCTTTGCTTCTGGGTTTCAAAGCAGGGAAATAACCTCTGTTCCGCTGTGTTTGTTTGTCCAGCCGGGTTCCAGGTTTGGAGGCGGACGGTCGAGGCCTTCGTCAAGCAGCTGTGTCTGCAGGAGCAGTACCTGAAGGCAGCGTCCCACCTGCTGTCCATCAACAAGCTGTACGAGGCCGTCGACCTGCTGCGCTCTCACAGACTCTACAGGTTTGTCTCCTTTTGTTTCTAACGGGCTGATTTTCTGTCTTTGTTCTGCTCGTATAACTGCCCATTGTGAGGCAGCTTTTGTTTGCTTTGCACCAAGAATCCTAAAAATCTAATTGCCTGACCGTTTTGAGAGGTGTTTTGGGGGCTTTTTCTTTTTGTTTTTTTGCCAACACAACAGACCTTCCTGTGTTTTATTTCAGGGAGGCCATCGCTCTGGTCAAAGCCCGGCTGCCGGCAGACGAGCCCGTCCTGAAGGAGCTGTACACCTGCTGGGCTGCCGTGCTGGAGAAGGACGGACATTTCTCTGCAGCTGCTAAATGGTCAGAACCGGGAGGATTAAAGGAGCCTCATCTGGCAGAAGTACCGCCTTTTTGTCGACATTAATATGGCTTCCCATGTTTGTGACCTCGTCTTGCAGTTACCTGGCGGCGGGCGCCAGCTTCGATGCAGCCAAAGTCATCTCCAGGAAGAACGACGTCCCGTCCCTGAGCGCGGCGGCCGGTCTCGCGAGGATCTCTGGAGAGGCCGATCTGGCTCAATCGCTGGCGCTGCGATGCGCTAAAGACCTGGCAGCCGCTCAGGACTGGGTCGGAGCTCAGCAGGTTCTGAGCTCACAGGACAGCCTGCTGGTCAGTAGCGTAGATAAGGTTTTCCTCCCAGAATGTACAGATCACTCATCTAGAAGTATGAAATGACATCAAATGGGAAGGTTTTAAAACCAGAATCACTTCCACCCTGCAGGTCCACAGGCTGCACCTCTGCGTCGCCGAGATGCTGACGTCGGCGCTGGTCGACTCCGATGAGGTCGTCTCTCCGGCGTCCTCGACTCATTCGTGGGCGTCAGCGGGCGAACGTGGTGTCGGCATCCTGACCCGAGTCAGGGACGTGTGGAGGCAGCAGTTCGGCGACTCGCAAAACTTGGCGGGACGTGGCGGCTTCGGAGCGCTTCTGCAGGAGCTGAAGTCCATCGAGAGCCCAACGCCGTCCGCCAACATTCCCCTCAGACAGGTACTGACCAGCTGTGTTAGAAAGGCTCAGCGGTGAAAGTTAGAGCACATTTAAAACCAATAAATACTGATTCTCTGAACCTCAAAACAAGTCAGTCTTTTAAAAGTTGCCAAAATGAAACTGTAAAAACAGAAGTAAGGATTGGATTTTCAACTTTTTGAGTTCTGTTGAGGAAAATCTAAGCTTTAAAATTTAAAAATTCTCCAAAAACAAACCGTTTGCTCTAGCCAAATTCTGTTACAAAAATAAAAATAAATAAATAAAAATTTTGAGCTTCATGGCTCGACGGAAAAGCCGTGAGTGACTCAGCTGTGACAAACGGTGACATGACAAAAATTCAGACTTCTCAGCTGAACTGCAGGCAGAATGTGGCAAATAAAATGTAGGCAGTATCATGTCACATTTGTCCAGTGTTTGTAACAGCACTTAAATTATTACACGTTCCAGGCTTTTTACAATTTTGTAAAATGCAAGATTACAGAAATTCAACTTTCTTTTTACGTAATGATTCATGACATTCTTACTGTCATACTGAACAAAAGACATTTCTGGACATGGGGCTTTACATTGCAGAGCCCACAGTGAATAAAAATGTGGCTAAAAACACCCACAAACTGTTCACAGGATCAACAAAAGCAATAAACACTTTTCTTGAACGTGTCTCCGTCTTCAGATCCTGCTGTGTTCGTCCCTCCACTTGGCCCGAGCCGTGCTCAGCTGGCTGCTGGACGACGACGAGCAGCTGATGAAGGAGCTCTGGCAGACGCTGGTTTGGCTGAAAGACGCCGAACGCTTCAGCGTCTCCGCGCGACTCTGCAGGCTGCTGTTTCCTGACGGTGCGTCGGATTTTCTCATCCAGCGGTCGTTCCTGCAACACACGTTTTTCACCATTTCACCCTCTAAATGCTCTTTTGCAGGACTCTGGGACTGAAAATATTATCAAAGTGTGTGTTCAGTGGATTTGTGTTAGTAGATTTGGCGACACCCAGTGGTCATTGGTGGTTTATCAGTTTGGAAAGAAGGAATTTTAAAGGGGAATAACTCCTGATTCATGATTTAGGAACTCAGCTGCTTTTATGAAGTAAATCAATCAGCAGCAGTTGTGATAGTTGGTTTTATCCGGTAATTTATCATCAAAAATCATTATTTCTACCTGATTTTATTTTCTTAAATGTGAGGATTTGCTGCTTTTCTACTAAATAACATTGTAAAGTGAATGTCTTTGGCCTTTGAACTGCTTGTTGAAGTTGTGATCGGAGTGATTTTGGTCTAATCTGCAATTTTCACACACGTTGAATTGAAAATTGTTAATATCTGCAGTAAAACTCACACTAGTCATGTCTTTACCTTTCTGTCTTTGTTTTCAGGTGACTTCAGTGTTTGTTCCAGGAATCCTTCCCAAAGGCTTCATCTCTCAGAAGAAGCCAAAGCTGCTGCCGGCAGCCTGCAGGCTTTAGTCTCCTACCACCGTCTGTACGAGTTCTGGTGGAACTCAGCAGGCGGCCACAACACCCACAATGGACTTTCCCGTCCTGAAGACGAGCTGAAGGACAGCGTGGAGGACGGAGGTCCATCGGAGGGAGCAGAGAAGCTCCATCCGGCCACTGGGAGGTTCGATGAACCGGAATTTGACCCATCGCTGCTTCTGTCGGAGCCTCACGCTGCCTGCCAGGCCTCGCAGAGAGCCATGAAGGAGATCCAGGAGCGTCTGGGCGCCATGGTGCTGCAGCACAGCCGGGCTCAGGGAGGGCGGCCGGACGACGGGGAGGTGCCGGACATCCAGAGCTCTGCTGAGGGCGTCCAACGGTGAGGGCTCTGTCAAGTTTCTGATCTTTGTCTGGATGATCTGAACAAGACTAACTGGAAGATTTACACAGTAGTTATGGATGTTTGTAGGACTTTTCTTTAAACACCGTTTGAAATTAGATGCCTTGACTCAACTAGTGGATGGATCGCAGTGACATTCGTGTTTCTTCCAGAACAAATACTCATAGGTGACTGTTGCAGAAATACTGCCATTATTCCCACGACTTTAAATATTAAAACGTTCATAAATTTGACATTGTGTGCCACATAGAGAGTAAGAGTCTGTGCACAAATGCTTTCACAGGGAACAGAAACTCAGGAATTCATTTTCGTTGGACAGCGTGCAAAATTCTGCAAGTTTAACCCAAAGCAACATGACAAAGTTGTACATTAATGAATCTTCTCACTGTAACTCTGTTCATCTGTTTCTGATCTTTACTGGAGCTCTGAACACATTAGGATTCATTTTTGTTGGAAACGAATGAACCTGTAAGCGGCTGATCACGTAAATGTCACCGGATGAGGATTAGTGGCTGGTTTTAGCTTCTTCTCCTGATGTCAAGCGTCTGTGTTTCTTCTCCTCAGTTCTGATGACCAGGAGACTCTGCTGTCTTTGTCCACCAAGATGTCCGGCTACCAGAAGGAGCTGGCCGAGCTGCCCGACACGATCACGGTACAAATCCTGACACAACAGATCATAAAATGAGGAAGGAGCAGTTTCACATCTTTTGACATGGCCAGAAATCGAAGATGATCTCCAGTCTGCTGTTGTTTCATTCCCAGTTTTAGAGTAAACACATCTATCACTCTGAAATCACATTTAGCGTCACAGGAGCTGCTTTAGTTGAACTCTGTAGTTGCAGCTAGAACCTGACAGAAACCAATTCTGCATCATTTTTCAATACATTTGCCTTAGTTATTAGATAAGAATTGGACTTTTGCATTGAACACCTCACAGATTCAAAGTTGCAGAACACATAGATCAGATTCTTCTGCGCCATCCAACCATGACTTGTGTGCGTTCCAGATGTATCCTCACCCAGACGTGGTGGAGTGCTGCCTGGTTCTGCTGCATCTCGGCAGGTCTTCACCGTCTCTGTCCGACTCCCTCCAACGAGAGGCCAAAGATCTGCTCCGGAAGTACGGGACGAGTCCGTCTGTCCTGAAAGCCTCCCAGAGATTCCTGGCCTGACCGATTTGCCCACAAACTGAAAGAAGCACTTGACCTGTACAGACGTTTGTTGAATAAAATGAACCTTTTGACTACAAAGTGTGACGGAACATCTGGAGTTGGTTTGATTCTGAAAATCTCAGTTAAGCTTCATCTTTAAAATGTCATCCCGTTGCAAACTGCTCAGTGTTTTCTACATGTGCTTGTTAGTCACTAGTCTGGAGAAATGACCTTTTAAAGCAACTTAACTAAATTATTGCTCATTTATCAGACTAGAACACCACATATTTTACTTCTAGCTTCTGACAGCTGTTTTACAACATTTCAGTCCGACTGTCGTCTCATTTTGTTCTGAAACAGACGGCTTCAAAACTTGTTTTCTGGTTTTGTTTGACCAGCATTTAAAAACACAGAAATTACAAGACAGATACTTCTCATATTTAAAAATCCCAAAACTACAATCTACGGCAGTTTATGTTTAATAAATAGGTACGTCTGATTATTACTGCTCAAGTTGCAGCCCTACTGTTCAGGATTAATTTTAGTTTTGGGTCAACTTTCCTTATAAGGCTACTCCGAATGTACTTGAGTATCATTAAAAAATGTGTATTTTTTCTCATTTATGCTCAAAAACAACATCTCCATCCACATGAAATGCAAAAAATACAATAAAAAAAAAAAAACTATAGACCACAAAAACCCTCATCCTAAAGCCATGCTGTCCAATCAGAGGCCTGGAAACAAACTACTATTGATCCTGATTGGCTGAATCGGGCGTTAACTGATTCTGACGCCAAGAGAAACTCTGCGTTTAAACATGTAAGTTAGAAGCCAAAAGCTCATTTCAGTGGCCTGGAACTGCATTTGTTTGGACGAAACGCAGAGAAAATGTTAAGTTTTGCTTATTTCCTTTTCACTTCTCGGTGAAGAAAAGATCAAAAATACTTGGAAGTTTACATTGAGAATACAAAACAATTTAATATACAACTGTTTAAAACAACGTCGAATGTAAAAACAACAGTAAACCACAGTGAACCTGACCGTGGACAGTTTGCTTTGGCGGGTGAATGTACAGAACGACAGTAGTTTGCCCATTGAAACACATGCATAACCAAGCACAGTTATACACCTCGACGCCCAACTGTTAAAAGTTTCTGAACGTGGAAAAAGAGCTAAAACATTTTTATTTTCATCAAAATTATACATTTTAATTTACAGGCCCGTCCAGCATTAACTTAAAAAAAAAAAAAGAAAAAAAAAAGAAAAAGAAATCCCTGCAACAAGAGATGAGTCCCACTGATGAGAAAGGATAGTCTGAACTGAAGAATCTGTTTGGTCTAAAAATCACAGTATGATACAGGAGCTGGTCCCAAGCTGTAAAGAAAGGAGTCACTGATGCTGTAAAACAAAGAGATTTTAAAAGGGTTTGTGAATATATGGCCATATACTCAGTAAAAAGCGACTAAAAAGAAACGTCAGTGAAGGATCCGCGGTCACTGTGAGTCCGTTTACAGTCACTCAGGAGCTTAAACAAAGAGTTTCAGTTAAGTCTTGTTCAGGGATCAGAGTGTTTGGGGGGGGACGTCCGAGAGGGGAATCTGCTGGTTGGGTTTTAAAACAAGTGCGTGTTCCACTTGGAGAGCCGAGTCGCTCGGTCAGTGTTTGTTGTTGGTCTCCTCCTGGCCCGAGCTGGAGATGCCGTTCTGGGGTTGGCTGGAGCCGGAGCCCAGGCCGTACAACCTCCCACAATACTTTGCGTCGTCGATGTTGTCCTCGAAGAAAAGCTGAACACAAGAGAACACGTTTCAATGAGACGCCGTTTCAAACTGTTCTTTGACAAGCCGATCCGGCAGCTGGAGACGCTGATTGACTCTGATCTACAGTTTGAGTGTTGGTCAAGTTAAAACTCTGCAGCTGCTACAAAAAGCAGAGATCATGTCACGCTTTGCATGACGCACGCTCTTCATTCATTTAAAAAAGTCAATCCTGCTGTGACTGTGTTCACGACCAACAGCTGGAGACTGATCTGATGGAGTGAATAATGAGCGATGTGTGATAACTTTATTACATCTGACAATAGTAAAGGAAATCTTGTGTCTACTTGGATATTTTAACTACTAATTGACTGTTTTAATTAATTTATTTAAAGATATGAAAGAGTTTGAGTTGGTATTTGTGATTCTATTTTCTAACGATTTTCTGTGATTAAGAAGTTCTGAGGCTGATTTCTTTATGGCCGAACCCTTCAGAGTAGCCTCCTTGTGCAACGATGCACCGTTCCCGACGCTGCCGCCATGTTTGAAACGCTCTCTGGGACGTTTCGTAGCCATTTAAAGCTGCACATTTACAATTCTATCAGAGTCTTTTAGCCACATTTAAATCAGGTTTAGGTTTTGCTCTTTAAAGATGCGCCCGCTTCTTGGTCACAACTTGTACACAATCATTGGTCAGTGATTACAAACTGGACAGAGAAGCTAATAAATGTCATTTTACTCATTGGGGATCTGAAAAACGCGTAATATTGTGTGTTTTCTGGTGGGAAACTAAGCCAACTACAGCCGTTTGTCACTGTTCCAGCTCACCATCAAAGAAGGTGGAAATCATCTCAAACAAGCCTCACGTTTCACCGTCGCTAACTGGCTCAATGTGATGCACTTCGTTTTGAAACAGGCTTCAGGCTCAGATGCCAAACAGTGAGGGATCACCGTGTAAACCATGTGGCTGTCACCTACATACAGACAAGCTGCCAGAACGGCTTTTTATATTTCACTTTATCAGGTGTTTATTATATGAAATCTTTGAAGCTACTGTTTTTTCCTCTCGCCAAAAAACATCCAGACAATTTTTGAATTAGCAAATTAGTTTAAACTTCTGATAATGCAACAGATCCCACAGTGAAGAAGCTCAATCCAGTGAGCATTAGTGTAACTGTACCTCTTTCATCCTGAAGAAAGCCATGCCCGTGAGCAGAGAGTCTGATCCCGCCTGATGCTGCCTCCCGATCCGCTTCAGCTCCAGCTGGTCTGCCACTTCTTGTAGACCTCCCTGCACACAAACACAGCGGTCAGATGTCTGCTACGACTTTCTACGCTTTGATAAACGTGTCTGCATCCAGAATACCTTTAGGTTCTTGCAGCTCTTCATTAAGTACTTGACGTCGTAGATTGCTGGGAAAAACAGGTTGAGGATCTGAAAGAAGTCGTGTTCCTCTTCAGGAAGCCGTGCGTCCGTCAGAAGCTTCACCAGGTAGCCGAAGTCGTAGCCGCTGAGGAGCAAAGAGCAGGAAGACTCAGATGGTTGAATAAAACTGAAGCACCTGGGACTAAATAATCAGTTAAAGTATTGAAGCCAGTGTTAAAGTTTCCCTAACAAAAAGTGTTTGTACAACAAAGTTAGGATATTATTTGGTATCCTTTGTTTAGAGGTATATTTGCCTCGATTAACAGATGTCGAAGCTTTTAGTTCAAACTCAGCTTCACTTTTTCTGTCTACATTCAGCTTTTTGGCCTCCAGAATCTTAAAAAAAGTGAAAAATACCAAACACAAATATTGCAAAATGTTGTTTCAGCAACCTGTTGATGACCGCAAAGAAGCTAAAATGCCACAATCTAGAACAAAGGTTAAATATCTTGAATAACTTTACTCATATATGTCTCTGAAGGAGAAAATAAAGCTCTACAAGGTGGGCCACGTTATTTCAGGCAGGGATTTGTAGATTTCTTGCTAGACGTGAGTGACGTAACAATGAACCAACCTGTGGAAGGAGAGCCACTTGACGTTTTCACACAGTACCAGGCCGGACGTCATGAGAAGCTCGGCGAAGTAGAGTGTGTCGATTCCCTCTTCTTCGTGCTTTTTGAACTGCAGGCCGGAGTTCTGGAGCAGGTCTATGGAGTCCTGTGAGTACATGTCTTCTCTGCAAGGAGAAGGAAAATAAAGACGTTTAAGCTCAACCAACAATCACTGATAGTTTTAAGAAGCAGTTCTGAAAAAACCCTGCAGGGAGGTTTTGCAGCATTTACATCGAACATAATTCAGTAAGACAGCTACGAGAGAGAGAGAGAAAAAAAAAGGAGGTTAACTGTCCCACTTACGTTAGGTTGAACTTGAAGTTGAACTGCCACGTCGTCGTCCCGGGAGGATAATCCCCGTCCTCGTTCATGAACGTGAGCCCAAGCTGGATGATCTTCAGGAGGTCGACGTTACACCTCAGCAGCTGGTACTGGTAGTCCACTGTGCTGCGAAACTCGCCGATCGGTCGGACAACCACTCCAGGGAATTCTGTGTCCTGGTGGACAGAAAAGAAAAAAAGAAGTCCATGAAAAACACCTCAAATTTACCTTCATCCAAGCTGGCCAATATCCTGTAGGAACAAAACATGGTTATGGTAATAAAATGGTGAAAAAAAGGAGCTGAAGAAAATGAGTAGCATCCCCCCAGAAACTCTATAAAGTGTATTTATGTCATTTTCAAGTGCTGACGGCACTTTTTAAAGTGAAAAATTAGAGATCTTCAGGAAGCACAGGACTTGACATTAGAGAACCTTTAAACACCACCAACATCCAACACTTCCCGAAGCTGTCAGTGTCTTACCATGGCAATGTAATTGTAGCTTTGGATAATCTGCCGGATCTTCCTCATTTCTTCCTCCACATTGCTCGCCCAGACTTCACAGATTATCTGACTGGAATCTGTAAGTGCGGCTGGCATGTTGGCAGGTCAGGTGAAGAGCTAAAACCCCAACAATCCTGCAGCGCTCGTGACGGCGGCGATAAAGGGCAGTGCAATGAAAAAAAGACAACTCTGGAGAGAGGATGGAAAGAACATGAATACATTTTAATCTCCTGTATGTAGGACCGTGTACAATAATCACTACTTACTTCTGAGAGGAACACTTTACACAATAAATATAACAATTTTTAAAAATACAACACATAGCTAAAGATTAAACCAGTTCCAGATATTTCAACATTTATGGCTTTTGGCTGAAATGTTACAAAAAAGCACAGGCAGTTATTAAATGCTTCACCGCAGTAAATGTGTAAATGATCATGTATTTCACAAAGATTAGCATAAAAGTCCAAAAACTTTTAAAAACTTTATTTTTGTATATTAAAATCTTTTTTTTTTTCTCCCTTTCTTCCTTCTCCAAAATCATCTCATGAGTCCTGAAAGGAGCGTCACCTCCAGCAAAACTACTTCTAGCAACATGTGTATTTTTCATATGCAGGATTTTTTATTTTTAATCAAATATTCCTGCTTTGGTGTATTGGCACTTTAAAATAAAGAATCTAAATACTTCTTCCACCACTGTTGGATGTCAACACCAGTATCAGAACAATATTCATTTACGAGGGTGAAGATTGATGTTGGTCCTACTATTTCTGCTACCTCTGCACAGAGCACGTTAGCACATAAAAAGCTGAATAAAGCCACAAAACAAACAAGGAACAGAATGAGAAAAAAGAAACCAACTAAGAAATATAAGAACAGTCGGACACATGAAGCCAAAATAAAGTTTAAAGAAAACTAGTAAGTAAAACAGAGCGGACTCCCCTGGCTGTATTCTGATTACAGATACAACTTTATGTGGAGCCAGTCTAATATCAACCTACAGTGTGAAACAGCACATCAAAAGGTCAATTTAAAGTCTTCTGGTTGACTACATCTGGCTAAACCAACAACTTATAGTTGCATGAAGTGAAAAGTTTTCAGCTAAGGAAGATATATCAGCTCGACTAAGCCAGACGTTTCATATTTTCCTTGAACTCACATGTTAAAGCCTTAAACCACTGCAGCACAGACCTTTTAGATTGCCGGTGAAAGCCTTCTCAAGTTGAGCACACGTACAATCCGTGACTAACTCTTTGTATCTGTGCTGCACTAAGCTACCAGTTCATTATGTACACTCAGCTGAAACTCTCTGCAATGAGACACCGATGAAGCTTTTAGTGCCTTTTCTTTTTTATTAAATAAAAAGGCAGTTTTTATGTCACTGAGAGCAGGTCTGATGATGATGATTTGGTTAACTGAACTACCTTTATGTTACCATGGCATCATTACCTTCTCCTTCTCCTGGTGGTTGTTTATAATAACAGGCTAGCTAACCCAGCAGCTAACAGACGCAACGGCTGAAGATAGAAGAAGCACTAATCTCACCTGGAGGTCTTCGAGAACAGTTATTAACATTTGACAACTCTGAAGGTTTTAACTTGACTTGCAATTAGCACAAACTAACGACGCAGCAACGAGGGGCTGAAGCACTGGCGCAGCGCTTAGCATGAGCGGCTAGCAGGCTAGCAGTCGAGTTATCGATAAAGCTAACACCGCGGGAGCGGAGGGTAAAATAAAAACCGCTCGGCTTTGTCTCTACTCGGAGTCCCGGCGCAGCTACGCACGCTGTAAACACACCTGAGAGTTACCGCGGAGAGGAGAAAATAGGAGGGTTACCTAAGAATTTCCTCGACGTACCCGGACTGGCTAGCTGTTAGCGCCTCTATCTTCTCCTTCTTCTTCTGCGGTTTCTTCCTGCGCATGCGCCGCCGTCTTTGCGTTTATTGGCGGAGCCTCGGTTGAGCACAGCGCCTCCTGCAGGACTGGAGTTTATAAAGCCCAAATGAAATACATAAAATGGTAAAATAAAATAAACCAGACTAAGTTACATTTGGTCACATTTTTCATAGATTTAGAAAAAAAAAATCTAAAAATTCAACTGCCATTCAAATAAGGAAACCTTTTTTTCACTGCTCCACACATTGATGGAATGCATTTATAAAAATAATTTCACTTTCATGTTTAAGAAGTTGGAATCAGAGGATTTAGATTTTTTTTCTTTCTGGAATACTTTCTCAAACCAATTATTTCATCATAAAAAAATAGTTCTTCTCAATTAATTAACAAATGATTGCAGCTGTATCTCCTACAAAACTGAAATGTCGTGTGATACAATCAATAATCAGTAATCAATTTTCTTATGATATTTATGGGTCACATGTACCTTCATATTAATAGAACATTTTGCTAGTAATACTTGCTTATGTAATACTATAATGCAGAGATTTTCCTTGTAATTGGTCATTTTCACATTACTGAAATTGCTTCTTTTACTAAAATCTAAAGATCTACACATTTCTTCTGCTAAGGGAATTATTTTGTCTCAAACAAGCCTCAGTGAAAACAGTTCACATGAGTTCTGTGGACTGAGAAACAAGCACACAAAAAGCAAAACATAATACCATTCATATGGAATTTAACTCAAAATGTGAAAACCTGAAAATGTGACCTGGCTTTAGAGATTAATTGAGCCACAGGAGATCACATTTAATCAAGACATGCATCCCACCATGAATAAAACTTAATAATAAAAACACTACGAAGTAGAACAACTAAACCTGTAAAAACACAACCCATAAACCACAGACAGCTCTACGAAAACACGTTTATTTGAAAACCACCTGAAACACCTGACATACGGTACAGTATATTTGTATATATTGCTTTCACATGCCTTCACATGTCCACAACACACAGCTGTTAGTATTTCACCGTCTTCATGGCAGAGAGAAGCTGCTTCGTCACATAAACACCTGAAGTTAGATTAGATGACAGTAAATGGCTTAAAATACTGAAATGTACAACTTTTGTCAGTTAAATCCAGGGACTGGGAAGGATGAAGGTTGGAAACAGAACAACAGGATGAAGCTTGTGGTTCGGTCAGTACTTCCTACGTACTACGGCCGCTGCATCCATTGCTTTGTATTTATTTGACTTGAACAGAAGGGAAACAGCTTTTTGAAAATGCAGCATCATTGGAACTATTAAGACAACATTGAAAACTCTTTATATTGATTTTTAAAATGCAGATTTTTCTTAATGCCGAGGCCTAAAGGTTAAATATTCAAGCTGTGTGACTGTAGAAGTCATCAGGTCGAGCCTAAAATCTGAATTCAATCTGGTTCCAGAGGTCGTCTAAAGACAGAAAGCACGTATTTTGAGTTATGTTGGGCTCCGAAAACAATAGAAAATATATATTTTTAACTGATACTGATGTACAAATCCACTAAAAATGAATTGTTGTTCATCTTCAAGCAGCTGGCTGTACATGTACATCACGTTACGCTAACAACAGCCAGTCTGCTCATAATTTGAAGATTATGGAAAATCAAACAAACTATAATCTTTTGGAGATTTTGAGAATTAATTGAAGGCTTTTAGGGGGAGCTAGGACCCAGTTTTCTCAGATTATTGTAGTTTATCGTAGCTACAAAGACGACAGAAAGTTTAAAGAACCACAGATAAGTTGAATGACGGCATTTAAAAACGATATGAGGAGAGAACCAAACATCTAAGCAGTAAAGAGAGAATATCTCGTTAATATATCTTTCAATATGTTTTCTTAAGCCACTAATAAACAAATTACCACCAATGTTTCACATCGTATGACTTTCTTCTGGGCTGAATGTTCTTTGAGGCAGATTTGAAATTTTGAAGTGAAGCACATGAATGCTGTCAAAAAAAAAAAAAAAAAAAAAAAGTAGTGCACTTGTTGAAATAACAATGACAAGTTGCTCCTTCTGTAATATCCCTTAGACAAGAGGTGGCAGATCCAGACCTTCTTCTGCTGGAGTTCATCTTCACAAATAAACCAGCAGAAAGTTAACACTGTTCGACAAGAACACACTTCTCCTCCCAGGATGACTTTTGCCTGAAAAAAAGCTGATGTGATGATGTTGTTTTTGAGTCTGGGTGTCATGGTGGCGATGCAGGACGAAAGAGACGTCACTGCTCGCTGGACTCGGCTCTCCTCTGGATGTGAGAAATCTCCAGGATGGGCATGAGGAGCTGGAAGGCATCCTGGATGTAAGATGCACTGTTGGACGCCTGCGTGGGAAGAGGATTGAGAAAATACATTTATATGAAGCTTACAGGTTATAAAAAGGCCTGACTCATGTCTGTATATAAATATTAAACACATGCACAACATAAAACTGCAAAACAGCCACGTTTCCCAGCACAACTTCTTCTGATTTATAAAGGATTTTGTAGAAATATTGTGTTGATGTTATAAGACAGGAACTTAAATATCAAGAAAATGACAAATTATTATTGTAAATTATTATTATTAATGCTTGACTGGAATAAATCCACTCTTTTGGAAATGATTTACTTTAAGAAAATATGTTTTTGTCACTCAACCAATCCAACATTATTTAACAATATATTGTTAAAAATGATACGAACATTGTGAATATTTAAATTTCTTTTAAACTTATATTTAGTGACATATTTCTGATGTAATCAAGATGTAATCCACCTGCATAGTTCATGAAACAAAAATGAACAAGCAGCTTTTTTAAAAATTTAGTTAATTGCTAACTGAGTAAAGTTAAAGCAACACTCAAACATTTCTCATCCATCCATCCATCCATCATCTATACACCGCTTAATCCTCAGTAGGGTCGTGGGGGGCTGGAGTCTATCCCAAAACACGCACATCAAAAAAGTGTCCTGTTATGTAATGTTGCACAGGTAATGTTTCCATCATGTACATTCAGCTAAGTTGAGTTAGGATGTTCTCCAGAGAAACTTTAAATACTTGAGAGAACCTTTCATTTTTTTTGATGGTAGATGTTTGGGAGCTGGTTTTATTGTTAATAAAGGGGATTGTGGAAATCCAAGCACAGGCACACATGTCTGATGAGCCCACTAGGTGCACGACACTCACTCTCCACCTGAAGAGTGACCACTAATCATCTAAACAGTTACAACAGAAACAGCTCACACATAGTAGTAAACTGGCCCAGCAAAAATCCTGCATGTACACAAGCTGATGTCAGTTTCATGTTACAGTTTAAAACAATAGTCTGACATTTTAGGGCGAAGGCAGGGGACACCATGGACAGGTCACCAGTCTAAATATTTCAATTTTTTTCCCCTCAATTATGTTGCTAGAAAATGCGCAGGGTTTGTTTTGGAATGTCATCTTGAATTTTCAGACATTGTGTTCCCATATTTATTTGAAATCTCACCTGTATATTAAACAACAAATGGATTGAGGTAATAATTAAGAGAAAAACTTCCAAAGTGATCGCTACTTGCAGCTCTAGTTTGCTGGTGATAGAACCACTACGACGTTAAATGTGAGAGAGGGCTCCTCGGTGGGACTCAACTACGACGCTTTAACGTGTTTACTTTAATGAGGCTGAAAATTTACAAGAAACGCGTCCAGAGGAAGCGACTGCAAATTCATAACAATTACAGTGATAAAGCTGGCGTATTGTGGAGCAGGTTAAATGATATTATGTGTAGTAAAATGACACAAACCTCTAGAAAGACTCCTGTAATCAGCGGGTTCAGGACGTCTCGCTTCTCGTTGGACTGTAAAACGAGCAGTTTGGAAAATGAGAACATTGCAAAGGTGTTGATTGAAGGTTGACATTTTAAGCAGAACAAAAACAGAAACACTAAGTAACATATGATCCGACTCTCAGCAGACATTAGAGTTAAATCAACCTGCTGACTCTCAAAAAGGAACATTTATGAGCTAAGATGAACATTTTTTGACGACTGAAAAACCGAGACGCTGCCGGTGAAGTAGTTCAATGATTAAAAATAAAATCAATCGCATGTTTAATTACATTTCAAGGATTCAAGTTGTATGATGTTGATGATGAAGATAAACCAAATTCCCTCCCCTCTTTAGAAAAGACAGTTTTGTTGGAAAAAGGTTTTACATTAAACAACCACGAGCTATTATTCTGGTCTACTTTTAAAAGTCTGAACTCCAACCACAGCTGAGTCAGTCAGGACTTCTTGGTTGCACAGAGAACTTGTGTTTTCTCTTGTTTTTTGCTGCAAATATGTTGTTGTTTTTTTGGCAAATTTCTAAATGAACCCTGTAGAATAAAGTGGTTTTAATGATATTTTCAGCTTGGATTCATAAAGTCTCATATGGTTAGTTCAAACACCATCTAAAAAGTCAAAAATCCAACAACTTGTTCCTGTTTGTTTTACAGTTTCTGTCTGATAAATGGTATACTTTCTTACAAGCTGGTGAGTTTTGGGGTTCAGAGGGTTAAAACTAAGCAAAGCAGCATGTCAGACTCATCACTCTTACCCCTGCTGTTGTTAGGCAGGAGGTGAACTTCTTGGAGAGCAGAGAGAGTTCTTTACACAGGATCACAGTCAACCTGAGGACAGACGATGTAAAACAAACGCACACGTTCAGGCAGGATCCATCTGAAACAGTGAATTTGCACGGTGCAGCTCCCACACAGCGTCTCCAAACAGAACATCTGCATGTCGCCTTACTGTGACAGGACGCTGGCCTCGGTGCTGCCGTTGGAGAACAGGATCATCTCGGCCAGTTTGTGGAAAAGCTCGATGGATCGCGCCGTCAGCTCGGCCAGACTCCTGATAGCCGCAGCGTGGACCTCCTGAAACACACAGACTGATGAACAAACCAGGAAACACCTACAGAGGAAACTGCGAAGAGAAAAGCAACCGAGCAACCCACAGTAGCAACTTGTTTTCATTCAAGATGACGTAATTTCACCCAAATGCTATAAATATTTGTGTTTAAATAAACAAGTGCAGTAAGTTCAACAGCAGCCATAAAGGATTTCCGCTGTTGCATTTAGGGATGCAAATTTTAAAGTTTTCTTCAGTTTTGATCATATATGTCATCTAAATACTGCAGTTTTTCTCTCTATGTGATGTTTTGGGTATTTTTTAACCACTGATACGTGATTGTCGTGGCAATTAATGACCCCAACACATCCACCAACGCTCTCCTGGGAAATTCCAACTTATGTTAAAACATAAGTGTGCCTTTAACCTCCACAGATGTCTTCGTCATGGTGTCCCTTTACTAGCTAAACCCCCATAATGCTCTCTGCTTGCCAACATGAACTGCCTGTGACCGTAATGACCACTTGCTTGAGGAAAAGGATTTGTCAGAACCCAAGTATTTTGAGAACCGTACTTCTAGGACTTGTGGCTTTTGCATCACCGACTGAGTTGGATGACTTAGAGAGTCACTCAGACCTCACTCCTGTCCAAGATCGACGACAGTCATAGCGTGAGTATTGAACGTGAATCAAGTCTGATTTGTTTCATGTTCTGATGTCTTCAGCTGAACAGCCCCGTTATCACTAACTGGCCAAAGTCAAAAACTATATTTAACTTATCAGTAGGTGCCACACACCATCACGTTTTGCTCATTTATGGAGCCATAGTGCAATTTTGGCAAGTTGATGATGATTAATTATCACCAGAAAATACTAAAAGCATGTTGAAGTGATCAGAGATGAACATTTATTGTTCTATTTGGCTAGAATAAACCAACATTTAGTAGTGTTTTGTCTTGAATAAATCCAAAATTTGTTAAAAAGTGCTAATTGGATGGAACAAACCTTTAAAACAACAAGTTGTATTTTGGTTGGAATAATGTTAGAAACTAAAAGTATTTGGACATCAAGTAGTACTCCTTGAAGGAACCTTTAAAGTTATAAGCAGTTTTCGGGTAGCGGAATCAGCCTTTAAAACCATGCGCTGCTCTCTTTAGTGATCGTTCATTGCAGTAGGTGGCGCTGTCTGGAAATGAAACAGTGAGAGACTCCACCTGGTGGAACAACCAGGAACTACAGCTGATCTCCAATTCATTTGCATGTCCCTCGACTTTTATTAGTTACAATATTTTCAATCAGTTATTATTAACAGCAACTAATCAAAGAACCAACAATCACTAACATCCCTATTCGTAGTGTTAAATGCTGATTCCGTGAATATGAACGCACCTCCACAGAGACTTCTTTTGTCTCGTCCTCCTCTTCGTCGCTTGGCTCTGGTTTGGTCATACCAGTGATCTGGCTGCAGGCGCTCTTACAGGCCTGTAGGAGGTCAGAAAACAATCAGCTGTTACTCAAATTACATGTGACCATGTAAAGATAGTAGAAATTTAAGGTTGTGTTTGATTGGATAAAGCTGCCACATGTTCCTCTGATTTTGTTATTATCACATCTGTATGATCTTAGATGTGACACTTGACAAAAACTGAGCAGTAATCAGAACCAGAACACTTGTACCTTGCTGAGCTTGTCAGGTGAGACACTGAGACCCTCCATGGCTTCCGTTAACTCCTTCTCAAACTCCGAGCCGTCCTCATCTGCGATCACAAACACAGCCATTCGTTCCAGATGTTAACGGTGCTTCATTCTCCTTGAGGAAACATCTGCGTTACGAAGACGTTACCTTTCTTCTCGTCGACTTCCTCGTCATCGAACTCCACCAAGGAGAACGAGTCCTTGATGCCGTCGAGCTCTTCTCTGAGCCGAACCAGCTCATCTCCCGACAGAGTGCTCAGCACCGACTTCACCTAAACAAAAAAACACCCAACCACAAAGAAGCAGTCACTCTGGAGGCTTTTACTACGTTACACCAACATCTCCGTGCGTCCTTTTAGCCACAGCAGGGGCCATATTCTATAAAGAAACTACCTTCGACTCGCTCTCTCGAGACAGAATCTCCAGAGCTTCGAGGTGCGACAGCCCCTGGAATTCATCAAACAGCATCCCGTAGTGAGCGACCACCTTCTTCTCCGAATCCGTCGACTCTGTCTCCGCCGTCTGCAGCTCCTCTCGCTCCTTCGCCTCCCGCAACACCTGAGAGAGAAAACGTGGTGAGCAACAAGAGTTGAAAGCGAGCGACGTGCAGCAGAGCCAGAATCTGGGTCAGACAACTGCTGAAACTAAAACAGGATGAATCTACACACCGCGTCCTCCCTTCAGAAGACTTATGTTTTCCATTTCTAGCCTTTTTTCTCATTCGTTCATCCCCACCTGAGACAGAGTGGCGTTCCTGTTCATCAGCCCTTTGGTCTTCTTAAAGCCCGGATCGCCTTCTGCGATCACGTCCATCGTCTTCTTCCCGATGAACTCCAGAGCATCCAGGCCGCCTGTTATCACCGTCTTACCCTGTGAGCAGGTTTAATTTCTCATTTATACATATTTATACACTCACAGATACTCTTGTTTGATAATTTTACACTTTTTTTTTTCTATTTTCAGGGACTGATAAGTAAAAGTTTGGCTGCTGATGGAGTCGTTCAGACACGTCGACCTGCAGGAAACAGTTCAGACTGTAAAGTTTCAGCAGGAAAGCCAAAATTTTACGGACTCTTCTGCCATCTTGGTCACTGTTTGGTCACTGAAAGTAACTATTGGTGCAAATTTTACTCCTGCAGCTTTTCTAATCGAATCCACAGTTCACACTTTTACTTAAAAGGTGAGCTAAAAATGCAAATAAATCCAAAATTCAATAAAATCTTGACTCATTAAGTTGCAAGTTACATTCATGTCTGTCCAGATTGTTTAATAAATGGTGTGAAGACTTTGAAGGATTTTGTTTGATGTATTAGTGTCATCAAATCAGGATTTAATCAAATCTGAACAATGTGTACAATCTCCCCCTCTGTTCCTGAGCTACGGTGTTTTTCCAGAACATTACACATCATATTAACTCCTCCTTTGACTTTTTGGATAAACCACGTCCTCATTTTATCTTATTGCAGATTTGTGTGATATTGCATCATAATGAACGTGGTAATTCTTGAGTTATGGTACAAAAAAAAAAAAAAAAAACGGGTTCTATAAAGTCACAGTTACCTTTGACTGTGAAAATCTAATCAGTTCATCTTTGAATTCTGTTTTTTTTGAGCCAAATCAAAGAGACACAAGATGAACAAAAAACAAAAACATGACCTAACAAGCAAACAGCCACAAAAAGCTTTCATGTCGTTATTTTCTCCTTACCGTGTTCTGGACAACGCTGGTGAGCGACGACAACATTCCCATCGCGCTTCCCACCGCCGACGGTCCGTCGACGTCTGCTTTGACCGCCTCATCGCTGCCGTCGCCTCCAGCAGGAGAATCTAACGAGTGACGTGTGCACTGTTACTAAAGGTTTACAAAAAGTGACGTTCTTTAATAAGGCAAGATAAACTTTATTGATCCCTCGCTGGGGGGATTTACACGTTACTGCAGCTTGACACAAAGGAGGCACAGTAAGAAAAGTACAATAAAGCTAAAAACAAAGATATAATAAAAACTATGTACGTCTTTACCACGCACAGATAAAAACATAAACATAGCACGAGTTAGACCGTGTACTAACTTTGCACATTTTCAGGTGAATAATTTCCACATTTCTGCACAATGCAAACATTTCTTTTGCTTCTTATTACTTCTATAATTCCCTGGATCTGCTTCACCGTCTCTTGATTTGACGTGTAATGCTAAAATTCTACACAGAGTCAAATTCCTTTTATGTGAAAACCTACCTGGCGACAAAACTGATTCAACTGGTTGTACTTTTTTAAATCAGAGGAAAAGTGAAAAATCTACTTTCTATCATTTAAGGGTTAAATTCAGCCTATTGTGCACATACCAGTTCTGCTTCAACCACTTCGGTATAATCCACGTCCTGTGGCTTTGACCAGCCACTTTAAAGTGTATTATACTGGAAACGAGACTATTATTTGCACTATAGTCGCACTCTTGTTGGAACAACAAACACTTATTCCACTATTTTAAAAAGACCAGATTGAGTCTAATGAAATACGACATGCTACGTTTCTGTTTTTGTTCAGTCCATGTGATTTTGCCTTCATCACACAGTAACGTCATACCCTGCTCCTTCTCCTCCTCCTCCACCTGAGCAGACAGCTCGGTCGGACTCGGGATTCCCAGAGACGTCTCAGCCTTCTCGATCACCTGAGTGAGCCCTTGGCCTGGACAGAAAGCAGAAAACGAGTTTAAACAGTGACAAAACCTCCAAACAGAGCTTCAATCTCTGGGTTTGAAAAGCTTGTTATCTTTGCAAAAATTACCAAAATTACACCATTTATCAGAGCCAGAACTTTCCGACAGACCTTGAACTAATCGTGTGTCCTTCTGTTAAAACAAATCACCAAATCAAAGCCTTAAAATTCCATATTTAATCAAAACTAATCATGTGTGTTATTCTACTTGTCTCATTTTTTAAAAACTGCCAGAAGCAAACAGTTTGCAGTAGATTCTGTAAAAAAAACAAATCAAAAACGTTCTGTGCTCCCCAGTGCAACTGAGAAACCATGAATTGACGCGTTGACTTCAGAATTAAAGGGGACTAACAGTGACTAAACAAAAATTCAGGGACTTTTCGACTGAGCTGCAGGCTGTGTTCACACCGAGCAGAGAGGAGACGAGTCTGGACACAAATTAAAGATATAGAAACAACACTTTTAAAAAAGTACTTTTAAAAAATAAATCCATGTTGATTCCAGGTTTTATCAAATTTGTAGAGAAATAATCTAAGAAATTCAAATTTCATTTTTTTGAATCTGATTTTAATTTTATTTTTAAAAAATAATTGTATAGATAGAATTTTGTGTTGTTTCCAAAGAGCTACAGGACTTTATACGGCAGTCAAATAGGAGCAAATGTGACAGAAGTAAAAACCTGGATGACACCTTGGTGCTGTAGTTTCTTGGGGGGACAGTTTTCCAGTTAGATAAACTAGTAATGCTGTAAATAAAGCGCCGGTTGAGGTCGTCCACACTCACCTACTGTGGTCACAGTAGCCGTTGCTGTGGATAGGATGGATTTGCCCCAACTGCCCCAGTATCCCCAACCGCCCTGAGACACTGTCGACTCAGCGAGAGTCTGTGAGAGAAGAGAGGAGGTCAAGAAAAAGGACAAGAAACAGATGTTAGAACGGTCATTATCGTTGTACGCACAAAGAAGTGACCTTTGGTGTCACCGCAGGAGGAGCAGAAACAGAGATAAGGCTCATCAGTAGAGTTTAAAGAGACTGTTTAAAACTCACAGTTCAGACACTAAAAGGCCACGACATGACCAGACAGTTAATGTGATTCCCCACATCAGCAGGGTCTCGTTATTCTCCACCAGCATCAAAGAACAGCAGGTACAGTATGGTGAGCTCACAGTGTCAGCAAACTCAGAATCTTTAATGTCATTATATAAAAAGTACAGCGTTTAATGTATTAGAGCACCGCCCAGTGTCAGGTTTGTGCCACAGCTGCCCTTAATTAACTAACAATTAATCATGTTTTATGTTTCTGTAACGGTTAATACACCAGCATGTAGAAGCTCTTTAATCCAAATGATACTTTTAATGCTAAAATTGCATTATATTGTTATCCAGGAATTTTTTAAATTACTGTTTTATAAAAAAAAATTGCACATTGTTATTATTTCTTGACTAATATGTCAAATTATAGTTATTTACTTGTTTTCCTGAAGAGAAAAACATTATTCTTTTAGTGGTTGAATGTGATGCTTGATTCATTTCTGATTTCTCAGATTTGGGTATAAAAAGGTGAATTCAGTTTGACAAATTCCTCATTCCTGATCAAAACGGAGAAATGTGGAGAGCTGAGTGGGAACTAAAGCACTTCATGATGCTGGAACACATTAGACAGGTGGTCTAATAAAAATGTACTATGTGCAGCTCATTGATTCCTTCTGTGTCCTGATATCGACTCGTTCCTTCGTTCTTCAAGAGCCTCGAACTCAGAAAATATTCACAGTATGAAGGTAAAACTTGAAAGTTACTGCACATAAAAACATCTGCTGATTGTGAGGAGGTCAGAACTGGTTGATTTTAAATAAAGTGGGATTTCTTCTGATGACTGGCTCCCTGTTTGAGTTATCAGTTCGTGCTGAAATGTTTTTTTTTCTGGCCATTACCAAGAAGAAACGTTAACCACTGTCAGTCTAATGAAAGGCGACCACAGAAAAGAGGTTTTCTTTTTGCCAACTTTCGTAATTTCCTCTGTATCTCATCGCTACCTTTGCCGGCTGCTCCTCCACTTTCGGTGTGTCTTCAACGGGGGCTGCAGGTTTGGCTTCAGGTCTCCTCCTGGCTTTCCTCGTCGGGGCCACGTCGGTCGAGTTGTCGGGTGCGGTCGGCGAGGAGCCGTCAGGCGTTCCGGCGGGAGAAGCATCCTGATCCTCTGGAGCCTCCGAGCCCTCAGCTGCCGTACGAGAAGCTTCGCTGTCTGACATCTTATCAAACGTCTCCAAACATGCCTGCAGAATACATTTTAAAAAGGGGGGACAAATGATATCCACGTTAGCCGGATATACTTCTGCAAAAACTATGTTGTTTTGAGCTTGGAATGCTTTAGGACCAAGGAACGATTAATGGATCTGCTGTCAAGTCTTAAAAGAATCCTCAACTATTTTGATAATTGAAAATATCCAGAAATCAATTGGAGCAATATGCTTAAGAAAATAAGTATGAATCCTCTGATTCCATCTTCGTGAATGTGAACATTTCCGGGTTTATTTATTCTTGGACTGAATATCTTTGGGTTGTGGACAATTACAAAAATAGATTTCAGGACCTCATCTTGGACTTTGGAAAACACCGACTGACTTTTTCACCATTTTCTGACATTCCATTGACCAAATAAGTAACTGATTTATTAGGAAAAGATATATATGTGCATACAAAGTGACTATCAAATGTGCTTTGCTGCCAAATGTTGGAATATAAAAAATAAAAAATGTAAAAGACTAAATAGAGAGAAAGAGAAAGTTAAATTACATGCATTTAATACATCTAAAACTGCACAGACAAGCTAAACAAAGTGCTCGCAAATGTTATCGACTAATTAATACTAATTGACCAAAAAAATTCTAAGTTTAATCTGTTTTTTTTTCTGCACCTAAAACACACCTGCAGATGTTGATGCACACAGGGGAACTAAAGATGAACTGGATTTGGGAAAATTTTCATTCTTCCACGATTGCATCCAGTGATTTATGAAGCATTAATTCCAGGAGCGAGTCAGTAAGAAAATACTGCAAAGCATTTCTTCCTAAACCACAGGTGTCACACTTTCCCCAGTTTGCATTTCATCCAGGGAACAGCTGTTGCTTTTCTGTGCACAGGGAGAGTTTACTGAATCCCAAACTGTGGGTTTCAAGGGTCAAATTAGCAGAAAAAATTGAATAATTAAAGTTGCGTGTCTGTGCAGGAAAGTCCCACAGTTAGCCTTTAGCATACACATAATTAAAAAAAAAAAAAAAAAACACGGATTTCAGTTGTGAATATAGCTGGATAAACACATAATATGTCTGTGCATGAAAGTGCAAAGTCCCAAAGTTAACATTTAAAAACACACATAACAAAAAAATGAGTTTATATTATTTTTAAATAAGCTGGTAAACCTCACATTAAGATCTGAGTAAAACATATCTTGTAGCATTTAGCAATAATATTGAGCTCCTACATGTGTTGCTACTGATACATGCTAATAGTTTTAGTCAGCTACTCCTTCATGCTAACTATACTTTAGAAGGAGCGCAAGTTGTTTTCTAGCACTGAATGCTATTTTAATCGTAACTGACTAATTATTTAGAGATAAAAACACCAACACACACTTTCTTGCTCTGCCACAACTCACCTTTACTCCTGCTCAGCTGTCAAAGTCCTGACGCTAGCTGTTACCTCAGTATGCTAGCAGCTTCCCCTCCCGGGGTAAACAACCAGAACGCTCCTTTTGATTCTCGTCGGTACTTTGCGTGTCTTCACGTTAAACGATGTAAATTTTCCAGGAAACTGTTAAAGTGATTCAGGTTTTTCTGCCTCTTTTTGTCCGCCTGGATTAGCCACGTCACATTCTGTTTTCAAAGAGCAGCTCCACAAGGTAGCCCCGCTGAGAGGAGTAACGTCCGGCCAGCCTCTTCAAAATAAAAGAAGCGTTGGGGCTCAAACACCACGGAAAAACGATAATGTGTTTTTATAGCGATCTACAACATTTAAATATTACCCGTACATTTTTATGTAAACAACCACACATTGCTTAAAAGTCAGCGAATACTTTAAAAGCTGCCGCATTTTACACAAGATGACTGATCGGATTTTATTTTGATATAAAGGCTCATACAACCGGCCCGCTTCTATCTGTCGCTCGTTAACTTGATCAAAAAGAAACAAAACTTCCGGAAACGTCAAAATAAAATCAATAAAATGCTCAAAGACAAAACAGTTCAATAGTTTTGTGTGTGTGTGAGTTGCTCTGTGTCTGTTTTCAATCAAATAAGTCATGAATTTATCTCCAATTAATTTAAGGCAAAATAAAAATGATAATTTTATTAATTAAAAAAAAACTTTAAACGTAATAAATACTTTTTTTTTTATAGATTAAATTAGCTTCAACTTTATTTATCAGAATACAAATACTGAGACAACGAAGTGCAGCTCAGCATTAGCGTTTATTATTTGCATTTCAAAATATATACATGATGTGCAACAGCATGAATATAATAAACAGTGCATGTAAGTATACAACACATGTGTTACAATATCCAAAATATGTATGTAATATGTAAAATAAATGCAAAATGATACAGTATTAGCAAAATAAACAGTATGAACACGTTAAGTTTAGAATTAGAATAAACTTTAGGTAATATACGTGTGCTAGATACAAAACAATACAAAACAGATAACTTTAAAAAAGATAAGTATAAATGACAGCATGAACAGCTTTATATTATATTTGATAATTTATTTGAATTTTAAAACCACAACACATTATAAATGGAATTAATATATACAAAATTGAGGTTTCTCCATCTCAATTGTTAGTTTAACAGATTGTGTTGCACTTACAGCATCATAAATTAATAAAATACAAATATGATCATGTTCATCATCCAGCTTTGCTCACGTTCTACCGACAGCAGGCCACGCCCCCTCACTCTCACCTGAACCAGGAAGTAATGGATCGTACTGATCGTGTTTGTTTTACTGAAACACCTGCCGACAAATAACCAAAATATCATTGAAGCAGGATTATTTACTGGAAGGTGTTACTGTTATCTCGGTGGAGGATTTGTAGTTTCGCTCTCTGTGGTCTCAGCAGGTGGGAATGACAGAACTCTCAGGTAATATTTACTTGATTATTGTGACAGAGAAATTAGGTTTTCTGCGCCTCTCGACAAAATACTTAATGTAAAGCAAAGATATGTCACATTTAATGACCAGATCAGAGGCTGGTTTGTCTGTAAAACAATACTGACTTGTTTTTAATTTAATCTCAGACTTCTCTTTATATAATTTAACTTCACCACAGAGACTAAAGGTTTGTACATTATATGGAGATTTTCTTGTTGTTTCTTCTCGGGGGTCACTTCAGCTCTCTGTGATTAGCATCAGTGTAAATGAGCCAGCTGGCTGCTCTGCTCCCTCTGGATAATAATATGCCATAATTCATTAACCACAGTTTACCTGGAAGGAGAAACTGCGCTTAGCTCTGCTTTTATTAGGCCTCTTTTCTGATAAGAATCACTGCAGCCGGAGAAAATTATGTAAATCAAATCCTTGTTATCTTTATAGCACGTTTTAAAAGCACTGTACGTTGCAGTATGATTATTAATATTAGAACTATGGAAAAACCAGTCAGTGCTTTCTAATTCCATTGTTGTTTCCAGCATTTTTGAGACAGATGCATTCTTTTAGAGCTAAAACTGCAACAAAATCAGTTTTACATCATCCAGGTGTCGCACTCTGAAACCTAAATCAGTTTTTTGTTCATTTGTTTTTATATATAACAGACTTTGAGCATCAGTATTATGGGATGCACCATAATTTCAGCAGTAAAACTGCAGCAGTTTAATGTCTGTTCTCATCATTCACCAGAGAAAACGTTTTTTTTTTTTTTTTTTAAAGTGCATTCTGGGTAAACTTTCAAGGCTCATATCAGCATGTGTGATGGTGATTGGTCAGAACAAGTTCTAGACGATGAAAGACCCATTTTTACCTGCAGAACATACCAGGATCATCTAATAGACTGGATTTGTTCTCTGGCAAAATAACTTTCTTCAAACATTTGAATTGATTTAAAATCACGACAAAAAACAGATTTATTGTGCATAAAACTGGATTTCATATACAATAAGCTAACTTGTAAAATCAATAAATGTAAAATGAAATGAAATGAAATTAAAATACTTTATTTATACCAGAAGGGAAATTCAATTATAGTAAAATATAGAGAAAGCAGCACAGAGAGGAGGGAGAATATATGAGATAAGTATATAAAGCCTAAGATGACAAAGAGCAACTAAACAACATGTAATTAATAGGATCTATGTTATTGTAATTTAAAATGTGTGATGAGGAGAAAAGCTGAGCTGATACAGAATGAATGAAACTTTGGTCTTAAATTTACAGATTGAAAGTCAGATTTTTTATGTCAACAGATTTCCATGTTTAACTAAAGAATATTAATATATATTTTGAGGCCATATGTGTTGTGTGTGAAGCACTGAAGGCCTCTGAACAGGCCTGACAGCTGTAAACACGCCCACATTAAAGTGTCTGAGTCGCTACATGAGCCGTGACAGTCGACTCTTCCGGTTTTGCAGGTTTGTCTCGTCTGAGCTGAAGCCAAGACTCATTCTTTTCAACATGTCAGAGCTTCAGAATCGCCTCCTGTCGCTCGCCTTGGTCTCGGTCCTGCTGCTCGGTTCCTGGACGGCAGATGGAGCCCAGAACGGGTCAGAGGTCAGTTTTCCCTTCGGCCGGGACGTCGTGGCGAAGGAGGGATCCAGCGCCGTCATCGAGTGCAACGTGACCGAAGGAGGCCGCAACGTCAAGTGGTTCAACTCTAAAGGAGTTCTGCTGGAAGACGACGGGGGTGAGCGCTGGGGCGGGTTCATCGCGTTTCATAGGAGGTTTTAGAATTTAGCTTTTGTATTTTGTTGTGTTTTGAGAACCAAAATAAATTAGAAAAAAATATAATATAAATAATTAAATAATATAATATTCTAGTTTGAAGTTGTTACGATGTTTTCAGTTGTTATTTTAATGATTTAAAAAAAAAAAAAATTCATTACATCGGTGGTTTATATGAAGCAATTCTGTTTAGATTTTGTTCAGATTTTACTTGAATATTATTTGGGACCCACAACTAAATTCTGTAAAATATTTTGGCAGAATTTTGAGAATTACAGACCTGCACATTTTTGTATTTTATTTTATTTATCCTTCGTAAGGGTTCAATATCTCCGGAAATATAACCCACGCAGACACGAAATTTAGTGAAGACACAGACAGAATAGTTTTCAGATTATCCAGAAGATCGAATGAGTCCAGCTGCAGGCGGTATTATGGCCCCAGAAAGTTCTTGTAAGTGTTTATAAATGGATGGATCCATAGTTCTACTAAAAATACAGCGTTTGGTCGACCAACTGTTGAGGCTCTTAGATCAGTAGAAGTTGATGTGTGCCAACTATGACAAGACAAGGTTCCAGTTTGCTGGTATTTTAACCTTAAACTTCTCTAAAATTACTGCATTTGTCCAAAATGACTTGAAACTTGTCCAAAATTGCAAAAAATGTCACCGTAATATGATCCAAAATGTTAGGAAACTTCTTCAGTCGAGTCCTAACTGCTCCAAATCAATACACAGTCATCTCTTCAGTCAAAGCAAAGTTTTACTTGCAGCAAGAAGCAACATGTGCAGCACAGAGTCTGAACAAGTGACCAACTAAAAGCATGAAGCACTGGTTGTTATATACAGAAAACAGGAGACAACCTCCCACAAATGTGTGTGTTTAGGCACGTTGTTTTGGCTACCCGCTGAGGACGCCTTGTCCTTATCTCACACTCACAAGGTGAAATAGAGGCGATGGACATTTACAGCATTCTCATACTTTTCACAAAGATCATAACATAGATAACATAGAATTATTCCAACACAAAAGTGTCCAAAATGACAAGAATTAATCATTATTAGCCCTTGAAAATTGAAATAGGTGCAGAATTTTCAAACCAGGGTGATGTTGGAGCCCCAGAAAGTTCCTGTAAGTCTATATCTATGCATGGATGCATGTTTCTACTAAAACCCAGTCTTTGGTCGACATTCCACCAACTTTTGAGGCTCTGACATCAGTAGGATTTGCTGTGTGGCAAGTTTGACAAGACAAGGTTCCAGTTTTTTTTTGCTATTTTGACGTGTAAAAATACTGACTGTGAATGTGACTTCAATGCAGACGTTTGATTCAAAGTACAAACGGGTCTGCAAATGTGCAATAAATAACCACAACGGAGAGCAGAGAGATGCTGTCACTGAAAGATTAAGTTCCACAGCTGAATTTCTTCTCTGCACCTGCCACGCTTGGTTTGTGTACAATTCAGGGTTATACATGACTAATGTCGCTTTGAACTCTGGGCGAATCCCTCAGTAAAGTCTGCAGATGTGCAGACTCACAGAAAGTCCACATCCTCTTTTCCATCATCAGCTGAATGCAGTTTTATTCGGAGTCATTCTTTCAGGTCATTAGTAAAGTCCGACACACGACGCAGGAAGCTGAATGCAACGATAACACACAGTGCAGTTGTTTGTTGAGTCTAATCTGATGTATAAAACAATTTTCATCTCATTAGATAGTGTTTTGTGCGCTTATCCGTGGAAGAATTCAAACCACATTAAGCTAAATTTAAATCTAATGAGTGCTAACTGGGTTTGTTGGCCTGTGTAAATGTTTTGAGTTCGGCACAACAAACACTTTGATTGAGGAGATGATGGAATCTCCTCACGTCGCTGGTAAAACTGAAACTCTGCTGTTGCTTCGCCTGCAGGTGGGAAGTGGCGGATTGAAGACGGCGCCCTGAACATCACCGTGGTTTCCTTCGCCGACCGCGGCCGCTACACCTGCGTCGCCGGCGGCACCACGAACTACACGGTGACTCTCCGCGTGGCCCACACCGACAGCGGCCTGGGGCTTTACTACGTCGTCGTGTGCCTGGTGGCCTTCACCATCACCATGATCCTCAACGTGGCTCGGCTCTGCATGGTGAGCAGCCACCTCAAGGAGACGGAGCGCGCCATCAACGAGTTCTTCCGCACCGAGGGCGCCGAGAAGCTGCAGAAGGCCTTCGAGGTCGCCAAGCGCATCCCCATCGTCACCTCGGCCAAGACGCTGGAGCTCGCCAAGGTCACGCAGTTCAAGACGCTGGAGTTCGCCCGGCACATCGAGGAGCTGGCTCGGAGCGTCCCGCTGCCGCCGCTCATCCTCAACTGCAGGACATCCCTGGAGGAGAACCCGGCATCGGAGGCCGGAAACAGGCAGGCGATCGGCCCGCCGAGCTCCGACGAGAAGGAAGAACAGGAGGCGCTGATGTCAAGAGAAAGACGAGGCAATGATGGCGGCGGCGTTGACGTCAAAGTGTCGGTTCACACGGCTGCTGAGGAGAACGTTGATGAGGATAAAATGTCTCTTGATGCGCTCAAACCAGGTTCAAGAACAAGTGTTTCATATGAGAGCAACATATAATCCGTCTCAGATCCAGAAATAGTTAAAAAATTTAGGATTTAAAGATTCAGATTTTAAAAGGAGAGTGAGGAGAAAGCAACCGGACCTCTTCCAGGTTCTTGAAGATGTTTCACCTTCATTCAAGAGGCTTCAGTCAGACAGAGGTGATTGTGTTGATGTCAAAGTGTCGGTTTCTGAGGAGAACATCACTGAGGATAAAATGTGTCTTGATGCGCTCAAACCAGGTTCAAAAACAAGCGTTTCGTATGAGAGCAACATATGATCCGTCTCAAAAACACAAGGCGAGTGAGAGATCAAGAAGTCATTCAAAAGTCATGGTGCTCGTTATCATTTAGGATTCAAAGACTCTGACGCTTTGAGGTTCCCGAAGACGTTTCACCGTCATCCAAGAACTGATGAATGAAGGTCTTCAAGAACCTAAAAGAGAAGTCCAGTCGCTTTCTATGAAGCTCCTAACATGACCAAGACTTGGAGAAATGAGAATCTCCATCGTGCTCGTCTTGTTCCGCTCTTAGTGTCGGGTCTGAATCTTGTTTAAAAAAAAAACAGCTTTAAACTAAGATGATGAAGTCTGACTACATCTGTTTACAGTCGACGTCCTCCCTGCTTAACATTTACTTTCATCTTCAGTCGTCTCTTTTTACTCAGCAGTGATTTTGAAGAAGGTGCAACAGGTCAAAGTTTGCGTTTAAATCCCTGCATTTCCATCAGTGCACCACAAAATATACTTGAGGGATGATAGTTTGCTGGCATGCATCGTGTTTTTATTTGTGTTTTTTTTCCCTCTTCAGCCGAGTCTTTCTGCACGCAGTCGGTGCAGCAGCAGATTTAGGAGCTCGTTATCCTCCTTCAGATGTCGTTTGCTGCTTCTCATTCTGTTCGCTCTGACAGTCAGTCAGCTTCCGCAGAGCTGAATGTCGCAATAAAACGTCCTATTTATCGCCACGCTGATTGTTTTCATGTCAGTGCTCCCGTCAGTCATTTAGGACTCATGGGATGAAGTGAAACAATCCCTGCAACGCTTGATTATCTCCTCCGTGTCGGCTTTTGTTGATCAGGACGGCAGTTGAACACGGGCTGGGTTTTGGGCTTTAACGTGAAGCATTTAAAATGAAGAAGAAACCCAAAATATTACAGAGAATTATTGATGAAGCGAACGGAAAGCCACCTGCGATTTTCACCTCTCTGGGTTTGCGAAGCAGTTTGACGTATAAACATGATTAATTTCACGTTAGAGCTCCGCAGCGTGTCATCCGTGATGGACAATGTCTGAAACTTTGTGCTCATAAATATGCAGGTGTAATCGATCACATTTTCAGGGACTTTTCTTTTTTTTTTGATGGAGTTTGGTCTGTATTCATGCTGAGATTTATCAACTCGGTTTGGCACATTTAGCACGTTTATCACCTGAAGACTGCAACTTCGTGAGACTTTAGGAAGACTATTGAAGTACAGAAGATGAATAGCAGGAATGTAATGTTTTATTTTGTTGAGAGTTTTGCACATGAGTAGGTGGTTCATATCGTAGGTAAAATATCTCCAGTTGTTTGCGATACTCCAGTGAAAAAAAGGACATAAAAATGTTTAAATTGTTTGATAGTTTCTATAGAATCAGATTTTAACCCTGAAATCAATGTTGGAGGCCAAACACATGGTGAGAAACCTCAACGTGCAGCTTCTTTACTGTGTCTCAGGAGGATATGTGAGAAAATTGCATTTAAAGCTGCATAAACTGTGACTTGAAACTTGAAAACTACTGCTGAACAAAAGAGTTTGTGGTAACTGTGACTGTTTTGTATGTGCTACAGATACTGTACGGGTTTGTGGGTGGAATGGGTTCAAGAGTGAAGGAGTTTTAATCATGAGAAGGGGAGCTGGAAGCACTTCATTCCAGAAAAAACAATCCTTTTACTGACTGCAAATAAACACAATCAAAAACTTGGATTTTGTTGTGAACTTTGTTATTTCAGATAGAAATGTTCTCAGGGTTTGTTTACAGTTTAACTGTTTGGGGTTTTTTGGGATCAAAAACTAAAATCTGTAAAAAAAAAATTGGCAGAATTTGAAGAGTTTTGTGAATTTTAGTATTTTCACCACCACCAACAACAACAATAAAAACAAACAAACAAAAGAAAAACCTGGGAAGCCATTTTAAAGGTTCAGTATCTCCAGAAATGAAATGAAATTTGGTGAAGACACAGATAAGATTGTTCAAATCCAAAAATGATTGAATGGGCTGAGCAATGGACACATTTTTATTTATTGTCCTTT